CAATGACAATGCATATTGAATTCTATCCCACGTCAATAGAAGCTGGTTCTATATGTTGGGTTGGTGATGAGCTTGCCGCACCCGCTATAGTGCTACACTAGTGACCGCTATAGGATAGATCTCCTGCAGTATGCACAGTTTACTGTTTCGGGGAATGCAGGCAGACTGATTTGTACATCCTACAACCTGTCGGCTTTTGGACTATGTCAAACACCGATCTGCAGCATGATATATACTACATTGATGTATACTTTGTATACTTTGTATAGTAGCCGTATACAATATAGATCACCATGAACATAGACCACTGACGAAATGAACTATAGTAAATATATCATCTATCCAATGGACTCTTTACAAGTACTTAAAATCAAAAGATCGACACACCGACATGTACATCTGAACACCTGACTCAAACAACATCGTCACCGAACGCAAAAGCAATAAATATAACTCTTATCAATGTAATTCTAACCATTCAACGGCAACGTCAACACCAACACCAACACTAACACTAACACCGCCTCCTCTACCCGCCCGGCCCCAAAAATGACCCTGTCTGCATATCTACCCCGCAATACACTCCCCCGGGCCCATCCTTCAATATCATCTCATCACATCTCACGATGACTGCATCGCCAAAAAGCAAAACCACGTGGCACAATAGCTGAACTCCTTCCTATCTGGACAGTAAACAAATGAAAAGCCATCCCGCACCGCACCGCCCCCAACGCCATCCGTTAGCTCTGGTTGGTGCGCCCGGGGTACATCGGAGAATTGAACGTTGGCCCACACACCTTCTTCGTATGTTTCTTACGTTTTTTTTAACTTCGTCGATGGCATGACCACTTCCCATGCACGGAGTTCTTCCGACGACACTCGTTGTCCGGGGGCCATCCAAGGCGTACTTGTGGAAGATATTTTTGGCTTTGGTGAGGGGTTTTGCTGGGGTGGGATGGCGCTCGGGTGTAGCTGTGGAATTGGGGGAAATGAATGGGATTGGGAACGGGGGATGATGGTGGGGAAACATGGCTTGAATTTGGCTTGCTGGTTGTTCTTTGACGCTGTTGGCTGCTGCTTTGGTTGCTACTGGTTTGCTAACGGTCTATCTTGTATGGATACGTCCTTGGCACGGCTGGGAATACTGCAAAGTATAAAGTAGGTGGGGATGTGGTATAGCTTGCGGTAGTTTCGTTTCAGGTTTCAGCTTCAATGCGGGATCGGCGGTGGGGGGAGGGGCTTTCTTTCATCCTTGTTTAGCCTCGGGCAGGACTCTTTGTTCTATGATATCACTAAATAATACTTGGGTCGATGGAATAGGAGGCATCTCCCGAGTGTCGTATAGATCATGGGTATATGACATATCTAACCGAGGTACCATGCATTGTTCGGCATCGATGCAGGTTTGCCTGTTGCCTACTTGATATACCAGTTTCCTCTTTCATTGAACAGTATATGTCAGTCCCAGCCATCTTTTTTTCGCCTCTATAGCGGGGCCCCCAGGGTGATTTCCTCGGCTAATTGATCAGGTCTTGACTCTTAGTAAGAAAGTTGCAAACGAAGCTTGGGTTGATTTCATGGAAATATGACGTTTTGAGGTATCTGGGGGTAAATTAAAGCAGACGCCAAATAAATAGAGCCCCTGCTAAAACAAGAACAATAATAGAGGTGAGGCAATGGCAGTGTGGCACAGTGGACTGCTAGCCATAAAGAACCAAATCAGGAATCAGTAGTCTTCATCCGAGTCTACGTGCCCGCGGTAGCGAGACATGTACCCAGTCCCACCATCTTCGCTCGCTGAATCATCGAAGTCAAACTCGTCCTGGTCGTCATCGGACGACGCTTCTTCATCTGGGTAATCATTGGCGGGGTGGTTTTCGGCTGTGGTCGAAGATGGTCAGTAGAAGTCTACAGGTTGGAAATGAAGAGGAAGAAGATAGAAATGAAGGGTAAAGAGAGGGCAAAAAGGGAAAGAACCACATACCATTAGAGTCCGCGTCCTCACTATCCCACTCCTCCTCGTCATCTTCAATAAACTCCTCCCAGATTTCCTCGTCCTCGGCGGTGATGACAATGACACCCACTCCAGGCTGAGACTTGGCCATATCCTTTTGCTGCTGGTCGGACTCGAATTCAACAAGCGGGTTCTTCAGCATCTCAGCTTCCGACAGTGGACGTCGGACGTAAACGTCGTAGACATAGTCGGCTTCGTCATCGTCCTCCACAGCCTGTTCAACCTGCTCCGAAGTCTGCAGTGGTGCAGGTGCAACTCTCGGTTCCTTGGGCTGCCGAGGCTGGTATTTCAACGGGGACTTAGGAGCTGTGCTGAAAGCATGCTGTAAAGATGCAGACGGAGGAGGGGCCGGTTGTCTAGCGACCTGAGCATCGAGGTCCATGCCATAGGCTTGGTCAGCCTCTCGCTCGAGCTCCAGCGCGACCTGCTCCAGATCATGGGCTAGGCGTTCAGACTCCTGATCCCAGCTCCTCTGCTTTGCCTGAGCGGATTTCTCCAAGGTATCAGACAGATGCTGCTTCGCAGCCGAGATGGCAACCTTGCGCTCCTCGCGCCACCGTTTCTCAGCCTGGTTAACGACAGGTCGTTTGCGTGGTTTAACTGGCGACGGGGGCCTGGTGTCCTGGACAAGTTCCTTTGGTTTTATCGAGAGAGACTGTGCTTCCGCTACCAGATCTGAGACCATAGATGCCTTATGCGAGTGCGCATTCCGCTGCAACTGCTCGACCAGCACAGCCACACCAGGCGCAGGACCACCAACGCGTCGCTTCTGAATCCCCCCAGGGGAACTCCTTAGGGATTCGAGATTTGAGCGCGAGATCTGGAAGCGGCGCAGGGCTTGCGCGCGGCTGGAGGATGTCTCCACTGATGACGGGCTGCTGTCACGCACTGCGGGTTGGTGGGAGACATCAGAACTAGCCGCAGAGCGGGGCTGCAGGTCGGTGAAAGGATTAGGACCTCCATAAACGGCACGCCTGTGCTTTTCTTCTGCGTCCTTGCGTGCAGCTGTAATGCGCTGCGCTTCACGGAATTCTGCTCCAGGTGACGTGGCTCGCACCATGGGCACGCCCATCGAGGATGCTGGCGCACGTCGGTTTACATGGAGAGTGCTTACTGAGCGCGGGCTGCGCAGGAGCCGCTGCGCGGCTGGCGTTGCTGGCGGGCTTGGAGATGCATCTCCACTCGCGCTCTGGCTGGCTTTCAGAGTGACTCTGTGGAAGACGAAGTCGGTGAAGCGCCGCTTGGTTTGGTGGAGCGCGGATTGAATGACTGCGGGGTAGGTTAGTATATGTTGTCAATGTGTCGGTCAAAATCTCGTCTCTAGGGACAACCATTTTCATGGTATTATGTATCTTTTTTTGGATGGGCCTACATCGCGGGGGAAAAAACAGGGGGATTGTTCTCGTACATAGGGTCTCGACGGGCTCTTCCTCACGCCGACGCTTGATATTGATTTGCTCTGGTGGAAGCGCCATGATGCAAAGTTGGCGCAAATTTTGCGATGGCTTTTGGGGTTGTGGAGGAGAGACGAATGGGTGAGGCGAATTGAAGCATCCAATTTGATGTGTCCGATCTTTACCCAATTTGGAGGTTATCATCACGTGATCCGAATCTTGTAGACGTCAATGACAGATGAGAGCAAAACGAGGAAAGACGAAGAGCAACTATTTAAAAGACAATATTGATTCAATCAGTTCTTTTTCAGATAAATTTTTCATGGCCTTGGTCGGTGACAAAAAGCCTATAAAAAGATTTTTGACTTTTCTATGTATAACATTTGGCATGGTGCATTCTTCCGGCTTTTATGTATAAAATTGCTTGATTTAGATTATTGATAGATGATGATTTACATCTAGAATATAATATGAGGGCCTGTGAAATTGACGCCAAAAATGACGGCGTTTGATGCCAGAAACGGCCGACTTTCCGTAACTTTGAACTATCATAGTCGAAGGAAAGCTAAGTGTTATATTTGCGGAGATCCCCGTTTGAAAGCAAGAAGGCGTACTCAATTGCTAAGCAATTGTCTGATAGGTCGAGGAAATATATATCTTCATATATCAAAGGAAGATAAAGGTTAATCCCTACTTATATAGACAAGCATTGCACAATTTTCTTCTGGTCACCTATATAAAGTTACGCGGATAGGATGCTGTTTGCTGCTGCGATAGACGTGTAGTTGTCTCCTTTAACCGTTGTGTAGTAATTGTCCGAGACACAAAATTTGTCTTCCTCCTCGAAGGTCGCCTAGGGGATTTCAAGCATATTGGTTGGCCCTGAGAGACCGCATCGTTCATTTAGTTCGATTAGGACTTCCTGATATCGTCGTATATAGAGTACGGCGTCTATTGCATTCTCTGGAGGCGGACTATATAGTAGTAAGTACAGGATTCGTCCTCGGGCATATCCTCGGTGCTTTGAGCCAAAGTAAAGTCCCCAATAATATCTTGGTAGAAGAAGTCTATAATATACCATTGCAATATTCGTCCATGTCTTTATTCTTGCTGCGAGTTTCATTGTAATCAGCCCTGATACGGCCACTATATAGCTCTGGGGGAGAGCCACTGATATTATACCCGCCACACTTATTTTGTACAACTAGGAACCACTCACTCAAGCTCTCGCTATTTTTCCTCCATCAAATTTCGCAACGGCAAACGCCGGAAATCCGTCTTGATGCCAAGAGACGCTATACTCAGGGTCCTCTATATATTGAGCCAACCAAAGCATCGCATACATAGTACTTCGTACATATGTATACATTTCTGGAAACCGTCGGACGCTATCCGGCTTGGCGTTGTTTATGTCTCAGCCTCTCATTGAAGCTATTGCATCCTCTAACTATGTACATGTTGCGTCAATCGTATCTTGGGCTATTAATTGATTCGATACAGTGGACCGTATCGTTCGCGCAACCGACACTAAACAACTATTCAATCTTGGGTCTAGTTACAGTAATCTTCGAGCCCTAGATAATATAACAAACTCAAAAAACATCTGTGCCGTAGGGTCTCAGCGAACAGCTTTCCTCTAGGTAAGCCCCTTCCTGCATATCCAGCCACACGATGAACATCGAACGTAGGGAGCACTTCAAGGGCGGCTCGGCGTCATCCTCCAATGCTTCAACGACTTTCACATAATAACGCTGCCCATCCTCCAATCTTTGTAGTAAGTCCTCTGGAAGCGGAGCGTTTTGTAAAGTCTGAAAACTCTCCTCATCAATCACAACAAACATACTATCGAGCTTATCTCGCTCAGTTGCTCAGGGTTTAAAATGATCGCGGACCTGGCCTATCGATGCTCTATCAAACTGGGAAGCATCTTGCAACGACACGTGGCTTGTACTTAGCCCACATTTCATCGAAGGAAATTCTATTGAATTCATTTGTCCTGGGACTATAGCAGAGGCGAGATTCGTATTCGTCGTAAAATCCATCCTTCATATACTTCGTGGTAAGGTCGACTACACGCGGGAAAGCGGCATAATATTGGGGAGTGTAGGTTGTCCGGTAGATTGTGTAGCCCTAGGTGAGTTCCGTGAAATGTAGCCAGTGATAAAGGTGATGGAATTCGCCTGGAAGCCAGGGATATAGCTTCATCGGTAATCGAAGTCGCGACAATGGGGGTGTTGATGCGATCTTGCGGTGGTTAAGAGGTAGTGGGTAAGTCGCGGATAGAGAAAGGTACAACTTTAGGAATGCGGCAAGGTCCAGTTGTTCTGAAGTTGCTGGCTTTATATTATCCCAACTTTCACTACTCCGTAGCCTTTGATGAATTAAATCCAGGCAGCATAGATTACGGTTAGTTCCTTGGCGTCATTCCCACATTATCGTGGCATCTTGTCCTACGAGGTCGTATTATGGCGCTAAACTAAAAGGGGCAAAGCTAACCGGATTCCGTAATTCACAGGTCTAGGTAACTAGTATTACATTTCTAACTAATATTTCAAGATTGGTGGGTAGATGACCAATTTCTGCTAGAAATAAAAGCCCAAGTGGTCGCTATGCACTGCGATAATCACCGCCACGACTCGTCCCTCTCCAAGGTCATTATCCAGTGAAACATGAGGCGTACTCACAGCCCCAAAGCAAAATAAAGAGATAGAAAAGTCAAAGATAAAAAGATGTAAGAGACTCAAAGCCAGCTAGCAATACAAGGTTGTAAAAGAAGGAGATATGGCATGAAAAGGATTAATAGGGGAATAGAAAACCATTGCAAACGGAATATGTCCGAGGGAAGAAAGGGAACCAAAAAAAAGCCAAAGAAAAGAAAAAGGTTGAAAGTGAATGGCAAAGAGTCAGAAGTAAAAATGAAATGAAGAGATTATGACCAATACAAGAAACGAATCAGATAAAAATGGGGGGAGGAAAGACATGAAAACCAAGCAAGGACTATATGTATGAAGAGAGAATAATGTGGCATTAAGTTCACCGAGGACAATGAGTCGAAGGTTGCATCCTTCGGAGATATGCAGGTGATTATTTGGCTCCGATCTCCTCTTCAGCCCAGCCGGGTAGTGAGTTTTCGTTTTGAATAGCCAGGCCAAATCCTGAGTGGTTCAGTCCACCGAGGGCAGAGAAGCTGGAGAAGCTGCTCTGAGGCTGGTGCGCACCTGAGCGGGTGTGGCTGGATTGACCAGAGACCGGCCCGAAGGGCTCCTGGGAGAATGAGGGCAAGCTGACAGCCCGTGAGTGCGAAGCACGGGGTACACTAAGACTGCTGGTGCTTGCGTGATGACCGTGTCCCGATCCATTTGCCACGCTCAGGTAGCTGTTGGAGGACTTGTGCTGGTGCATAGGCGGGTCCATGCTTCCATTTGACATGTCGCCGTTGCTGACGCTGTTGTACAGTGACTGCTGTGCCTGGGACTGTGCCTGTAAGCTAGCAAGGGCCATAGAGTCGTTGAATTGGTTCTCCTGATCCTGTGCCTGATGAGCAGACATCTGGTTCAAGTACATGGTCAGCGGGTTGCTGGAGCCGACATTTAGAACCCCAGAGGGAGAGGACACGTTCTGCAGCGGGTGGCGGAGCTGTCCATTTTGGGAGGATCCCGATGCCGGAGAAAGGGCAGGGCGAGTCGGGCTGGACTGGGAGCCGGACTGGCTGAGGTTCTGCTGGAATCCGTTGAGAGCGGAAGGTGGTGACTGGCCTTCCATGCCGGCTCCATTGCGGTTCTGCTGTCCGTTTTGGTTGTTTCCGGCTTGACGCGGTGGGTTTCCGCAACGGTCCTTGCCAAAGTTGATCTTGAATCGCCGATAGTCCTCCCGATTGCGCATTCCCTCAATAGCCTTGATGGCGTTGGCGATGTTCGTGAAGTTGACAAATGCGCAGCTCTTCTCGCGCAGTGTGTTCACCAACTCGATCTCACCGTACTCCGAGAAGTCCTGGCGAAGGCGCTCCTCCGTCCAGGCCTCATCCAAGTTACCAATATAGACATTGCGTGATGCACCGCCGCTGACTGCTAACGCAATGGCGGGCGGGAGAGGGCCGGAGTGTTTGCCCCATCCAATCTTCAGGCGTCGGTTATGGATCATCAGCCCTTGCAGATTGCTGAGGGCGTAGAAGGAGGCGGCCGAGGTGGGGTCGATGAATGTAACAAAGCAAATATGTTTATCTGGGATATAACGGACATGGTGCAATAAGCCTCCGCGGACGACATTGCAGATCTCTTCAATGGTGGTTTCGGGGTGGATGTTTCCAAGGTAAATGGTGCGGTTGCCGAGATTGTTGACACCGCCCGCCGTCGTTGCCACGGCAGCTGCGGCAACAGACTGTTGTGCAAGCGCATTAGAAATCAGATCACGATCCGCCGTGTTCAGCACGTGAGCATATCCGGGTGCGATTCCAAGGAACTGCGCAGCATTTTGCTGTTGAGTCTTAGATACATAAGCACAGCGGTCCTTGCCATAGAACACCCGCTTTGGCGCTTGCCATTGTTGCTCTTGGGGAAGCTGGGTGACAGCCTTCATAGCATTACTGATTGACAGGAAATGGACGAATCCAATCGCCTTCTCCTTGACGATCTTGACGGTATCAATGGGCCCAAATTTGCCCAGATCCTCCCGCAAATCATCCTCCGATGTTTCTTCAGGCAAATTTCCAAGGTAAACATTACGCGACGCGCCTGACTGTTGAACAGCCAGAGCGACAGAGGTAGGGACCTGTGAAGGCTTGCCCCAGCCGACCTTGATGTCATTTCCCTTAATGGCCAACTTCTTTAAGATGGCATCTGAATGGAAGTGAGTAGCAGAGCTACTATCCAAAAAGGAGATGAAGGCACAGTTCTTATCAGGGAGCAGGCGCACCGACTCAATTTGCCCGCTACGCACGTGGTTTAAAATCTCCTCGGCAGATGTTTCAGCCGGAATATTTCCAAGATACACGGTGCGACTGGTCCCTGAGAGCATACCCGGGGCTACAGAAGCTTGGGGGCTGCCCAGGGCTGCATTGCCCATACCTCCAAGACCATTGATTGGCGATTGAGGACCCATCATTTGGGAGGGACCCATACCATCAGGTGACATCATTCCATACAAACCGTGGTTCTGTATGTTCTGCATTCCTTGCGTCGGGCTGTGCATGTGGTTCTGATTGTTTTGGACGTGTCCATTGCCATTGGCCTGTGAGAAGCCTCCAAAATTGGCAAACTGAGGAGAAGCAAAGGCCGAGGGAGTTCCTGGTTGGAAAGGGCTGCCTACTAACAGCTGGGACGGGAGAAGCGGGGTGTAGTTCATATCGAAGCCGGATGCCATATCGGAATGTTGGCCCGCGGCAGTGTTTATAGATGGGATATTGGCGCGACGAGAGTTCCGGTCCGAGAATCCTTGAATAGGGTTGGGGTGGTTGTTGTTGTAAGCTCCGTGGGAGAAGCCAGTGTCACCGTTCAGCGCGTATTTAGACCCAGGATGGATTAGACGCGAATTATTCGATACATCCGAGGATTGCATGGCGAGAGTAATCCAACACTTGTCCTAAGACAAGAACCTAGTCTTAGTCGGGGATGAGAGGCCCTGACTACCAGACTGAGAGGCTCTGGGGAGGGGGGAGAGGGAAAAAAAATAAAGGGAGGATTATCAGATCACCATTCAGGAGATGACTCCACAGCCAAGATCACTGGGAAAAATAGGGAGGGATTCGGGTGGAGAAAGAATAATAATATCAACAAAAAAGAAAGACGAAGCTCTTTCAAATGTAGACGTGTCTAAATGGAAGTTCAAAAGTCAATTGGAATGTTTCATTCAATGTGAAATTGGGGAATGGGGGAGAACAAACCTGTCCTTTTCTTTGGGGTCTCTTTTAGGGAATGTCACTTATATATATGTCACAACCCCCATGCAGAACATATATCAAGCTTCCTGAGGACGAAAGAGAAGAAGAATCTAAAGTCAAAGACTACTAACAGTCATTAGCTTAAAGAGGTTAGGGAAATCCAAAAGGGAAAAAAAGACCTGAAGTGGAAAAAAAGGGGGTAAGTCCCGGGGGGAAGGAAATGGGGGGGAAGTTTACAGTTGACAGGCTGGTTTTTTTTTAAAAAAAAAATCAAAAATCCTTAAAATAAAGAACCGATAATAACGACAAGTAGAAACAAAAAGGGTTAAAAAAAAAAGAGCGTGGAGAAAAGGAATGAAAGGCAAGGAAATGAATCCAGGTAAGGTATGGAGAAGAGGGAAAAAAACATTAAAAGGGGGAGAGAATAAGGAGTGGGTTAAGGGGGGTGTTTCCGGACTAACTCTTCTATATTCTATATTACTGATTTATAGGAAGTACTATGCAGTTGTCCTCAATTGGATTGTATATTGAAATATAGATAGAATATAAAATATAAAATAATAAAAGAAAGATTCTAAAATAAAGAAACTCTTTGGTTTTCCCCAGTTCCGTGGCTCCTGCAGAACTGGATCAGGACCTAATCTCTTACCCCTGACATATATCAGATTACTAGATTAATATAAACTGTATAGAGTAGCGAGAAGTACTAGAGGACGCCTTTTAAATCATCTTCTTTTAATCTCCGTTTGTAGGAAAATGGTGAGTATAGGTACCGTGACCTTCATACACCTGAGCAAGACAGACCCAATGTTGTACACATTGTCAGCTATATGTTACGGACGGACTAGATTAGGGAAAGCTATGGAGTACTTCACACCGAAATATGTAGGTAACGTTCTGATTCAACCCATGGATGAGGTTAAAATGCTGATCTGCTTCGAATGGTATATCCCTTGGTATACTATAAGCACATATATATCAACTATGCTGTACGTCTTATAGGTGAGCAATATAGTAAGTCAAGGGAATAGATTCAAATCAGACTAAAATCGATCTTTAATATCTAATACACGCATGAATAAATATAGTCAACTTTGGATCATAACCAAAAAAAAATACCCCGAAAGATATCCGAGATATACAATTCTATCAATGCCTCAGGCATCCCGTGGGGAATCCCGCATCTATCGGAAATTTACCCCTCTACCTCAATGTGCGATTCCTTCCTTGGACAACTTGCAATTGGGAAGAGATAAGAGTTCCATTCTCTGCATATCAGGTGAGTCTGCTCTTTATCACATTCTAATCTGTCCTACCTGCATTTTTCGATCTTACGGTGTATGACTCACAGATTAGACCCTATATTAATTGTCTCTCCTACAGAACTCTCCCACACCACAACTCGATCAATTAAAGTATCGGGCTGCAAGGACTAGACCAAACACAATGGCGTCCACCAATATCCATATCGACGAAGACGTCGGGAGAGACGAGTCCCCCGCCACCGGCACCGAGACAGCTCCCTACAAGACCCTCGTTTACGCCTACGTGCAACACCCCCCTACCACTGAAGGCATCCAGTACCTCACACGCAAGTCCCAAACCGATGCTGCCGGTGAGGATGTTGACCCTGCTGCCAAACTGGAGTGGAAGCCCGCCACCAAGTCGGCAATGAAGAAGGCCAACAACCTCTGGGAGCAGCGCAAGAAGAAGGCCGCCAAGGAACAAGAACTGGCCATCCGCGAGAAGACTGAGGCCGATAAGCGCCAGAAGGTCCTCGAGGAGGCCAAGAAGGTCGTGATCAAGGAGGACACCTCCCTGCCCAAGCCCGTGCGCGTTCGTCTGGACGTCGTTGACCCGGCCATCATCAAGCTGCGTACCCCCGAGTCCGATGAGGCCGGCACCCGAGTCCGCGTTCTGGGTCGAGTTCACCGTGCCCGCGCTCAGAAGGATGTCGTTTTCCTCACTCTCACCGACGGCTATGGATATTTGCAGTGTGTCCTGACCGGTGACATGGTCAAGACCTACGACATCATGACCCTCACCCTCGAAACCTCCATGTCCATCCACGGTGAGATGCGTGCCGTGCCCGCCAAGCAGCACGCCCCCAACGACCGCGAGCTGCACGCCGACTTCTTCGAGATCATCGGCAAGGCCGCTGGTGACAAGGAGGCTATTACCACGCGTGTGGCGCCGGACGCCGACCCGCAGACCCTCTACGACAACCGCCACTTGGTTCTGCGCGGTGAGACCTCTTCCTCCGTCATGAAGGTGCGTGCCGCTACTCTGCGTGCTTTCCGCAAGGCCTTCGAGGAGACCCGCATGCTGGAGGTGACCCCTCCCGCCATGGTGCAGACCCAGGTCGAGGGCGGCAGCACTCTGTTCGGATTCGACTACTACGGCGAGAACGCCTACCTCACCCAGTCCTCGCAGCTGTACCTAGAGACATGTCTCCCCTCCCTGGGTGATGTCTACTGTGTGTGCCCATCTTTCCGTGCCGAGAAGTCGTTGACCCGTCGCCACCTGTCGGAGTACACACACATCGAAGCTGAGTTGGACTTCATCACCTTCACTGATCTGCTCGATCACCTCGAGGATATTATTTGTCGCGTGATTGACTACACCCTGGCTGAGCCCGAGATCGCTGGATATATCAAGCAGCTCAACCCCGATTTCAAGCCCCCGTCCCGTCCCTTCCGCCGCATGAAGTACGATGATGCCATCCAGTGGCTGATTGAGCACGAAATCCCCAACGAGGAGGGTCAGCCTCACCAGTTCGGTGACGATATTGCCGAGGCTGCTGAGCGTCGCATGACCGATATCATCAACCAGCCCATCTTCCTGACTCACTTCCCTGCCGATATCAAGGCCTTCTACATGAAGAAGGACCCCAACGACCGCCGTGTCACTGAGAGTGTCGACGTGCTCATGCCCGGTGTTGGCGAGATTGTCGGAGGCAGTATGAGAATGGACGACTGGGAAGAGCTGATGGCCGCCTACAAGCACGAGGGCATGGACCCCTCCCCCTACTACTGGTACACTGACCAGCGCAAGTAAGTTTTGATATCTCGCATTTGTTCATATCTTTATCATTGATTCGTCCATGCTAACATTTGAACAATAGGTATGGTACCTCCCCTCACGGTGGCTACGGTCTCGGCCTCGAGCGTTTCTTGGCCTGGCTGTGCGCTCGTTATACCGTCCGTGACTGCTCACTGTACCCCCGGTACACTGGCCGTTGCACTCCTTAGATATGTCAAAAAACAAAACAAAACAAAAGAATATGTAAGCATGATCACGATAGGTACGGGAATGTGGCATTGGTGCTACAATGGATGAAGAATGAGATTTCCTTTTAGAGATCAATTAAAAACGATTCTGTTTCTATGTTATGTGCCCAGGTACGGAGTAAATATGTAGATTTTGCTCGTCTCCTTGAAACCCCGGATATTGACCTAGGCCATACCCCTGCAAGATTCTCTAAACTGATACCCACTGACACTATACATACACTATCGCGCCCAAACAACACTGTCTTCGATATTCTGCCGGTTCCTCTGGACACACATGTACAGTCTATCTGGGAGCAATATCTAATATAAGGATCTCCCAGAATATAGTTTCCAACCCCAAATCCTTTGCCGTTGCCGTTCAAACCCAGCCCAAGACCCTGGCATCTGGGATTCCAAAACCAACCAAAGCGGAAGCATGCATATGCACACAGCCCCAACCCGAGTCCCGTCTGCATATAAGTTTAGCTAGATTTAGAACAGGGCTGTTCACGCGCGGCGTGATCTGTCGTGCGTTCTGCGTGTCCATCGCCTCCTGACCTGTGAAGGAAGGGTGGATTTGGTGCTAGTGTTGGATTTGAATTTTGTTGGCGTTGAAAATGATATTGCCTTTGCCTTTCGCGTTGTCGTTCTTGTTGTCGTTCTTGTTGTCGTTCTTGTTGTCGTTCTTGTTGTCGTTGGCAGTGTCGTTGGCAGTGTCGTTGGCGGTGTCGTTGGCGGTGTGTTGTTGGAATTCACGTTGATTGACTTCCGGCAACAACAACTCAGGCCATTGATAGGATCCTGCCGTCTGGTCTGGCGATGATGGCCCGCTGCGAACCAGGCTTGCGATCAGTTGTGTATGGGTGTTACGGCATGGCTATGATCGAGGATGGAACAGGATTCGTCGTGTGTGTATAGGAAAAGTTCGGAGTCGAGATCGGATTGGATGAAGTCTGGTCATGGTCACGGAAATCGAATCGGCGTGGCGTCGTCCTACTGTAGTTGTTTCGGGTGGCTGGAAACCTGTCCCTGAACCACCTCCTCTCGTCATCTCCAACGACAATGGAAGAGGGTTAGTAAAGCCTTCCTTTCGAAAGAAAGCGGCAGAGAGACTTGAACTCTTGTCTCTAGGCTGTGGAGAGGGAGTGCGAGAGAGAGGAAGAGATTCTCTGCCTCACTTTCTCTCCGTCTACAGGTCTACAGAGGCGGACCGGGGAGGAATGATTCTCAGCCGATCTCCGACATGGGTTAGTGCAGTCACTTTTCAAAACAGACTAGCAAAGTCTTCAGGTATGTCTAGCATAGCGTGAGAGAGAAGAGGAGCGTCTCTGTCTACAGGAAAAGAAGCGCGCAGCCCAAGGGTGATCCACTACACCGTGAGCTTCCATTGCTCGAAACCGCACGGAGATAGAATCCGTGAGCCCACAGGGATTCTCATTCCACTCGACCCCTTCGAGAAACGCCAAAGCAGCCCTAGCAGTGGAGATTCAGTTCCCAAATGAGCGAGAATAGAACTGTATTTATTCGTCTGTTGGGATCGAATACATCGTATAGACGCGCGCAACACATCGACGCTGTACTTCCATTTTCCTCTTTCAATGTTCTGGCAACCGCAACTCACCCCAATGCCAGCCTGGCGCAGTTCGAACTCGGTACAGCCACCCACGTCCCTATCGTGTTGTTTAACCCGTCGATCTTGGTGTTTGCATCTTTTTTCAACCCTGTCCCTCTTCTTTGTTTCATTCGTCCATCCTCGGGTATGACGCTTTGCCGTGCACCAATCAACTAATGAGCATATGCATCGGGTTCCACACATAGGGGCTAGTGGCAAGCTGCTGTCACTTTAAAAAAAAAAGGGTTGGCCGTATTTAACCTTTTCATACCGGTGTTTGGTAAGTATTTCCAGCTTGACACCCTGGGCGTCTGGGGCATATAAACCGTTTAGCTCCATAACAGGATCACAGTTGTTGGCTCAGCGCCGGCTCCTGTCATTGCAACTGGGTAGAGATACTTTTCTTTTCCCTTTTCTTGCTCTTTGAGTCAGACGACGTCATTTTTTTCCTTTTCCTTTTCAACAACCTTACCCTGGACAATACAGAGCGATATCACATGTGACAGAACAACCTTCCCATCCTATCCAAACCCCACGCAAGCCACACCAAGAAAGAATATGGATGTTAGACAAAAGGAAAAAAAAAGCGTCATGAGCTCTATCGTCTGCCTCAACTTGCAGCATTTGATTTGTCTTGGGTCTTTTTCAAGACATAGGCAAAAAAAGAAGAAACAAGTGCACTCTCATGATTGTTCTGATACAAGGCATCAACATACATGAATGGTTCACGATTATGTATTATGTCAACAACCCCATTGCAATCCGAAATTCTCTGGGCCATGCTCCAAGAAAATGAAAAACCAAACAATCACCAAAATCCACCACCCACAGCGCAGGTTCTCATTGCATACCGAAGAGTGCGCCGTTCACCTCTCGTCTCGGACGCGTTGAAGGGCGATTTGGATCTCCTCGTTCGATGCTCCGGAGCGAATGAGCGAGACGATCTGAGCGACAGATTCGCTATGAGCGTCGCGCATGACACCGACCAAGTCCTCCAGGAACTTTCGGTAGTAGTTCAGCTCGATTTCCTGCTGGCGGATCTGCTGGCGGCGCTCAGGTGAGTCGCCGGCGTGTTCGCTGTGGAAATGTCACGGTATCTCAGCTTTCAAGCATTTAAGGGTTGCCGGAAGGGGTTTAGTTTACAGGGAAGAGGAAGTTGTGTTTGGGGAAAGCGACAGGTAAGAGAGGTAAGAGAGAATAGCGAGGTCTTTGCAACTCAAGCGGGAAGATGACTACTCACATTGCTGCATTCTCGCCTGCCAAGTCGGTCTGGCGGTTTCCGTTGCGGTTTCCTGGAGCTCCATGGCCGTTGGAGTTGGATGCCGTGCGGTTTGACATCTTGGTTTGGGCTGCGTCCGGTGTTTTGTCAAGGGCTCTGTCCTATGTGGGAAGAGAGTTGGGAATGGTCTTGGGCTATCGTGCTCGAAGCTGTTCAAATCGTGTTTCCTGGTGTCCGCCTGTGTCTACCTATAAAATATCACAACTTTATAGGAGTTAGCAGCCGGGCTACTGGGATTCCGGGGGCGAAATCGACGGGTTCTAATGGAAGGATGGGGGCAAAAGGTCTCAGAGGGCGAAGTATGAACATTGACAAGGTATGAGGGGTCGGGGGGGGGGGGGGGGGGGGGCACAGAGCGGTCGGCCATACGTGTTTATAGGCAAGTGTCACCCGACTTGGGAGATAGATAGCGTAATACATAGAATTCGTAGATAGGTGAAAAGATGAGATTCGAAGACGAAACTCGAAAGGTTAAAGAGAGAAAGGTGGGACCTTCAAATGAAAGGATACCCTAGGCAGATTGCCGCCAGTTCTACGTCCAAATCGAGGCCGTAGAATTGGCGCGAGAAACATCAGGCCTAGTATACATACCTACGATGTCGGGCTCTCAAGCTTGCATCTTTTGCTTAACCCATTTATCTCTTGATAACTGAGAAAAATAAATCAGAAAAATCAAAAAAAATCAAGAAAAGAATTGCATAGTAGTTGTTCACGATTGTTTAGGACCTCGAAACGGCCCCGGATAAAACTGCCAGCCAATCGTCAATCTTGGTTTTGCTCCACGGTGAACCTTCAAGCATAATCCTTGAGCCAGACTAAGCTGATATTTTTCTCTATTATTTTGTTTTTCGCCAGGTTTTGGACATGGAACACAGATCCTAGTCTGTGGCTTGCTGGAAAAATGTTGCGAGTCTGGGGGCCCTAGTGTCCTTTGTATTGGTACTCGTATTCGGGTTTGCCGATATGTCGGATAGATTCGTGATTCCCAAGAGGCGAAAGACATTATTTCTTGCATTTGTGGCGACTTTGGACTTTCTGCCCAAAGTACTTTGTTTGTAGAGGGATGCACTGGCAATGCTTTGTACTTCCGTTCCGGTGCTCCAAATAGATCTCGGGAGAGACAGGAGCCAATTGGGACGGCTGCGGCTTTGTTCGCGCGTGAGCTCGAACCAACTGCAACTGAACTGATTGCCAGTGGCTCTAGCATAGAATTCGGCCATCCATCTCGATGACTCGTTCAAGCGTGTGGATCTTTCACTGTACCTCGAAGCTTAAGCTGTGAATAGTGGTTGTGAACAGTCTGCAGTAAGGTTGACTGGTCGCAAGCCGAACCTGAAGGGTCCTTCTTGGGCATCCCTAGGACCGGGTTCTGTTTTAATAAAGCGCAAAGGAAACACATTGAAGAACTAAATTTCTCCCTGTCTTGTCTGGACAGTATTCCGCTTTGGGAAGAACCGTGTGCTGACTCGCTCTTTCCATTTAGGTTCCTTTGTTTGTGCCGCATTCCGTTTTCCCAACGCCGGGACTGCATTCGAGCTCCCTGTTCTCTCTCCTTCTTATCTGTTGACAATCAAATACTCCATATTCGCACTGCATATGTTGCCTTATATTCGACAGCACCTAGAAAGTTGAGCACCGCTCTTCTCGCCAGACATCGATTCCACGATCCCGAAGACTTCGTTCCCGGTACCACAACCTCCGAAGGATTTGAAACTTGAACAGCGCGCCTTCAATGCCCTCTGAGACTGTCGAGACGCAGACTGCTGGCATTTTAAAGCGAAAAGAGGTTTATAATGACCCGGCTGTCCGGTTAAGGGGTTTATGGGCGCGCGCCGGGATGGGAGGGCCAACTGCCAACTGCCAACTACCAACACTCCATGCACTCCATGATATCACTCAGTGTGGCAATGTCTGGCTAATGGATCGAATGCCACAACTTGACACAGAATCGACACGGAAGCAGCATTTGATGCAAGGTCTGGCGTTGGCTTAGGTATGACAGACCAACCCAACCCCTAGCTTGATAGCCTCCTATGTGATTCTGTGCAAGAGTGACATCGCATCTATGCTTTATACCAACAATTTTCGATCCATACGGCGCAGGCCGTCAGGGCCGCAGTTCAGCGTGTCTTAGGCCTAATGGACCACCTCAAGTTTTCGTCGCCATGTCGAGGGTATTTGCAGGTTATTTCCAAAGCATGTGGCCTTGATGAATGTGCTTCGTGGAATGGGAACGGAGAGAGAAACGAGAGTAAGTGACTGGTAGTGCAGTTTGAGCCATGGGCACCGTTACCAAATTATTCTTTGTCGAGGTGTCGTAAGTCGTCTTTGTGCACCAGTGATGCGGTGTATGTGGTTTCATGTCGATTCAGGTCAAGAGACATGATTTCTGTTGGCCTTTCAGGCCATAGAAAATTCCATATCTAAAGACCGTCTTCGGGTCGGATGTGAAACATAACCAGAGGGTCTCATGCTCACAGAGTACGGAACGCTGTGATCATTTGAGCCCGACGGTTTCAGGGGAGCAGCGATCGGTGATTCGAAGACATTTCATTTAGACCAGGGCGAAGATTGCTTTGGTGTTGTCGGGCTTTCGGCGGGGGTCGTGATGTGCATCGATGTTGGCTTTTCACGCGGAGAAAAACTTTCTTTTGATCGTGTTCCCTAGGCACTTGAAAACAGGCAACGCTGCCATCAGCCGCTGAAGCTTGTGGATGACACCAGGGCATCAGGATCTGTCTGAGTCAGTCGTTACACAACACGGTCGGTAAGTTAAGCCATTTGGTCAGCTCGATGCATGACCGATCCACTTCTTCCTGTGGTGGTTTTCCTGTCAATATGAGACTTCCTATCGTTGTTGGTGATGGAGATGGCGATGTACCATGGCAGGGTAGATGAGGTTTGAGTGAGAAGCAGATACGAGGCTCATTAACCTCAGAGCCGAGATCTGTTAAGCTCGACCCCTTCGACCAAATAGGAACCCCTGTCATCAAGTGATGCCAGCCATTTCCCGGGGACATCTCGAGAGTTTTCAGTTGCGGTTTCTTCCAGGACACAAACAGCTACAATAAGGAAGGCCCAAAGTCTGTAGTTTTCCTTCCCAAGGGGGACAAAGACAAACTTCGAAGGGAAAGCCTTATCATTCACCCTGTGCCGCCAATTGGATCCACCCGTGATGAGGAAAACAGTTCCTGGCGAGGTTATTGGGGCGGCTCCACCAATGCCAACATCGAAATACGCAATGAGCGTCAGACCTGCGTGCTATAATGTACGATGTCTAACGAGGAATTCGGAATCCGGACCGTGCTCCGCTAATATGTGAAGATGTCAGCATTTGTTGAACCGAAGTTTTCAAGGATGCGAAGCCTCAGGAGAACACCCGGGATCGGGTCGGGGCGGATTTTCTTCAGGGTCCAAGTCTCACTACTTAGCAACGCACTTGGCAACGCGGTGGCTGAAACCAACACTAACAACAGGATATAGAGCAATAATTTTGCTTTTGATATTGCTCTTAGTATGGGACCCGTTACTGCTGCGCGCAGTGGGATCTCCAAAAAATCGTATCCAATCTTGATTGGGATCAATGCGTCGGCTCCAAGTGCCCTCAGTCCAGCCACCCGCGGGACTCAGCAGAGTTGGTATCGCTCGTCTCTTTGCACGGTGTTTTCTTTTGTAAACTATTTGTTATTACTCGGATCATTCACGGCTCAATCAGGAGGAGATGTATTTTCCAGGGCTAGCATATCTCCTATTGTTTCGCAAAACACACAGAGAACATATTTCAACTTGGCAAGAGCCTAAGTTGGCTACGTCGATGCAGTGAGGGGAACAGCGAGAGTGAGTCAGCGACTCATAATAACCATGGTCTAGCTTTCCAGCTTCTGCCTTTCAGAGCATCAATACGAGCCTGTCCTAGATCTGCCCAGGTGTCCAAAAAGGAAACCTTACGTAAAGCCTTACGTGAACATGACACTGCCCTAGACCTCCGTGGTATGGATTAGGTCCTAGGATTCGACATTGATTTTAGGTTTGTTGTACCATGGACTCCAAATGACCTTCAACCTTGGAATTCTTTAAACTTTTGCCTTAAACATTGTGTACCTGCCTCGATGATACATTGCCTGAGGCAGTAAAAGCCTTTAAACCTCTCTAGGACACGGATGTGGACTTTATTCGAACATAAAATGTATTTATATTGTGTCACATTTACACACGTGGTTTAATCCAAGTGACACTAATCAAGGGAGAGAGGAATGAGAGGAATCCTAGCTGTCCTTTTTATCAATCCAGTTCCGCGAACGCTGGTATGTAGACATCATCAGCAAACCTCATACCTCTTGCCAGGTCAGAATCAGATGCAAGAACAGCAGTCAACTACCAGATAGATGGAGTCGATATACTAATTGCTCAAGTCAAAAATATTAACCCAACTGATTGATGCACCGTGTCATACAAGATTTGTAACGCTGTCCATGCCAATGTATACAAATATCACATTCCACAGCACCCGTAAATGCCATCAACGCGACATTCAAGCAAGCCCCCTCCATTCCCAATGTACGCGCGAACTACTAATAACTCGCCCTGATCCTGCACGTTGGTCATATCTTCGCATTTGACAACCAGCTGCCATCTATACATCAAACCAGTGGAAAAGAGCAGAAAAATAGCAGCATCAAGAAAAGCTAAAAGCTAGATCGCCAAATTAACCATGCGCTTTTCTACTCTCTTCCTCTTCGGCGCCTCCCTCGCTTCTGCGCAGTACGCCCACCGACAATTAGCCCCAGAGGAACTGGAACGCATCAATGGAGGCGCGAACATCGACCAATCCCAGAAGCAGGGCCAGAACTCCAATCACAACAGGGTTGGCAACTACGATGAGAACGAAGACTATAAAAAACCTGCCTCAAGTCCTCACACACCAATCCACGCCCCAGCCCCTGGGTACGGTTACAATTACCCAGGCCCGGCGGTATCTAGACGTCTCGCTGCACGCCGCAACGTTCCAATCCACCAGGCTCGCACTCCCGATCAAGCCCCGGGATCTGCATCCCAACACCAGTCCCGAGATCAGTACCCGCGGAGGCACCATACAGACTCTCTTCTTAGCCCAGACGTCGACGACGTCTCGGGTGGTATAGCGCCAATTAACCCACTAAGCCCTGGTTCGCAGGTCGCGCCTCCTCCACTCATTGGCAGGCCTTCTTTTGGCAAGGACGAGGGTAATACTTTCTGTGTTGGGCAGTGTTTTGCTGATGAGAGTGATGCGAATTGTGGGAAGCCTTACGTGAGTTTTTTTCTTCTTCTTCGGCTTTCTTTTTCTTTTTCTAGCGTTTGGGATCTAGATATATATCTTGATTTCATGTGAAATGATATCTGTGGATATGTATGGGGTTACTAATGCTTTATTTCCAGGCTGAGGCTGTCTATAAGCCGGCTAAGGAGTGCTATATGTGCTGCTTTACTTCTTCTGATTTCTAGGGTTTTGGTATGGATATTTGATCGTGTGAGACGGATCTCGAAGGATCCAGAGCATTTTTTGCCCGCTGTTTCGAACTTATCTCTTTCTGGGGTGTTCTTAATAATATTCTAATATTATCTGTCTTTCTTAAAAATATGTTATGTCTTTTTGTTATTTTTTGTTTATCTTAGATTGAAGAATACATCGAGGCAGAAACTTTCTTCATCAACAGACTGAGATTGACTAGTAGCCCTAATTTCCGCCACTGACCTATCAGCCTAAATTGAACTACATAGGTACTGTACATCCAACAGATAAGCCCCCGAGATCTTTGGTACGGGGATCCACAAATAAATAAGCTTGAATTAAAGGATTAGATTAAGATTTCTTAAATTGCTGAATCCTCTCAGAGAGATAGATGTTGAAAATCATTCCAAAAGGTTGATTTAGTCTAGATACCAGAGATATCGGCATTAATCTATATTCGCTTTGGCAATAGAAAGTAGGGAATAAAATAAAGAGCAAAATCCATCATATATCATTTTTATCCACGCTGAAGAGTCACAGCTCGCTCGGACTCAGAATTCAAAGAAAAGAAGAAGAAAAGAGAGCAAGTGGGGGAGAAATGAACCGACAGGAGAAAAAAAAAATGAACAAAGATAAGCCTATCTCATTTCATGAAACAGCAAACAGTCCATTTATTTCTTTGTTCGATTCAGTTCTTCACGCAAGTCTCGGCGGGCCGGCCGCCAATACTCTGAGTCATGCTGATGGGAGCAGAGCGTTTCTCGTACGAGTTTTCTCCCCACACAGCACTGCTGGCCGGGAAAATAGAGCCGCTGTCCGAGACACCGATAGGACCGAGATCCTCGTGCGCAGAAGCGATGTGCGGGACGACCAGCTCGACGCCCTTGGTCACGCTCGTACCAGAAAAGTACGGGTTGTGACGCGGGGGCAGCGGGCGAGACTCGTACATGCTGCCTAGGTAGTCGGAAGCGGTGCTGCTGAAGGACGAGGCCACGGTAGACGGGGTGTTGGTCAAACCGGGCACGTGACCGTAGCCGTGGGCTGCACCTCCAGCAAGGGCGGGAAGGCTGGAGCTGCTGCGTTGCACGGTGGGCCGGGGAAGCATGGGCTCGCCGCTGCCGCGGTGGAACTGGGAGAGATAGTTCCATGCGTCGGAGGAAGCCAGGGATGAGGCGCTGCGCGCTAATACGGGCTTCCACTCGGTGGGGTCAAGATCTGACTTGGCATCATGCACGTGGCTGGGTATCCGCATGGCAGGGATTGAGTTACTTGGCACCCTGGTTGGGGTCATTGGGGGCACGATGGTGCGTGGAGAGAGAGGGGGAGATGCGGGTGGTGTGGAGGTGGAAGACATGGAGGACATTGAGGGTAGTGATGCTGAGAGAGGTTTGCAGGAGTCTTTGCGGCGGCAACTATATTAAAGGAAATGATAAGTATGCAAGTACCAAAATGAAATGCAGGTCCCAAACAAAGAATTGAGAATTGGGAGGAAGGAAAGGAGAGGATATCAAGGATATATCAATGGCTCTAAATATAGAGCCGGGGGGATTTTGCCACATACCTTTCGCTACAATATAATAAAGTGTTGTTGGGGACAGTAATCTGGTTCTCACACATGGCGCTGGAATTGGGTCAGCTTTATGTCCATTGAAGAAAAGACCGGTGTATGGAACACAAATGACGGCAACAGGCATGTGAGAAATAATCCCTGTAGGATTCAAAGATAAGGGCATTGGGTATATCACATACCAAAAGTTTAAGAAGCTAGCCATGTCAAACTCAGTATCGTCCGAAGACGTAGGCGGCTTGCTCGCAGCCCTTTGTCCCGAACCTAGTTTAGAGATTGAGACGTTGGCACCGGATGTTCCTCGTCGATGTAAGCTAGGACGAGTAGACTTGGACTTAGAGACATGAGGAGATGAAGGAGAGCGGCGGTGGAAGGGGGCTGTTTGAGTCATTTGTGGCGGTGAAGGCATTCAAATGCCTCACTATCTTATCGAGAGAAGACGCCGAGACTGGAGCCAATGTGGAGCACAAAAGGGCCCCTGAGGGAGCACAGACTGAGGGATTTGTGTTGGCAAGTATTGATTCCAACTGGAATGTGCCGAGTCGGTGCAATTGGGAATACAAATGCTTCCAAGGTTTTCTTTGAGAAAATGGAAGGAACACCGGAGTATGTATGCTGAGAAACGTGGGGTGAAAAAAAAAATATGCTGATAAGGTAATGTTAGCATCTGACACACACGGACGTTCTTGATGCAACAGGAGGCTATCTTTAGCCTATGAGTGGGGGGAGATAAGGGAATATAGTCCTGGAGATAAGCGCGACATACCAAAGGGGAGAATCTATACGAGTCTATAAAGCAAGAGATACTTTTTGAGAAGTAGAAAGGGGAGTGACACAATAAAGAAACAAGAGAAGGGGGGGAATTTGGAATATATAAATACAAAGTGGATGGGGATGGTGAAAGGCCCTGAGAAAAGAAATTGAAGAAGAAACGTGCTGTTGCGGTAGGATGAGACGATCACGTCTAGACTCTTTGAAACAGGGTTCGCAGCTATGTACCTGATAAGTCACTTATGACAGTCTTTGACGGCATATGCAGCCTTAAAAGTATGTTGTGGATACTTCTCGGGTACTCCCCGGGTACTTGGCCCTCGACACGCAATCCCCCGATCTAGACCAGCTGAGTCACCAGTGACGAGCCCTGGAGCCCTAGAGATTTCTATAATTACTCGGCCTTTTCCATTTTAGATACATTGCTCCTTTCTTTCTTTGGATATCTGAATCTGGATCTGTATCTGATTCATTGTTGCCTTTCGATTTCACTTCATTAGGTACGGAGTACAGGAACTGTACCTCAATCGCCTGAAACGCACAGATATGCATTTCTAGGTATAATCATCTGCAGTGCAGTAGCGCAGGGACCATATCTCCGGAGGGGGTCGGATCTGGCGTGATCGATAGATTGACATTCCTGACATTCCTGACAATCAAGTATTTGCTACAAGTTAATATACTTGTACACATTTTGTATAACGTAGTATAACATACCATATACCATGGAAGAGCTACATTCTAAATGACGCCATAAAGGCCTCGACGAGTTCAAGGATTTCCTATATAGACCCAGATGGTGTGAACAGGTGGGTATAAATACATCATTGCCCATATCTCTTCGGCATAGGTTTGTACCCAGCCAAGTACCCCATAGTATATAGTAATTAAAAAGAGAAACATATACCCGGCTATGGCGACAACGAAAATAGATCGACGGAACAATCGAGAACCTCTGTGGGGATAGTGTATGAAGTGCCACCCTGACACGTCTGCCTATTACAATAAAGTGTCGCAGGGACCTCGTCACAGGGGGTCTATCATTCCAGGTAGTGCTAATCGTCGATCTTCCGTGTTTCGTGTTTCGGGCCTACGGGGAAAACTGGGGCTTTAGTTTCAAGAATGATTCACAGAAGATAGGTACATACATATGTATGTATGTATCTTCATTTTGATCACTTGTTTACATCAGAAGATCAATTTTCCATTTGTGACTTTTTCTCCTTTCCCGTTTTCTTTTCCGCTGGGTACCGAATTGGTTTCCTTGGATAGATCAGGTCGGGGTATAAAATATCACAGGGCGAGCTTGGATTGAATTTTTTTATTATGTGGGGCTACATTTGTCAACATAAAATACATCATAACGGTGAAGCTTTGACGTCGGAAAAGATATGCAGTCTGGGAGAAAAGTCGATGATTCAATGTGAAATAGAGGTGATTCTGAAGTTTGGGTTGTTCTTAGGTCTCAATTCTATCTGGGTATCTCCTAAAATATTGTACAAATGACCTGAATCATGCTTTATCAATCTCCATTGGCTCCCCTGCAGGCACTGCTCGAGCCCCCGCTGGGGTGGGCGTCGAAGGAATATCGCCGTTGAGAGCCATTTTGTCGATCCTCTTTCCTGTAATCGACTCGGCCGGGTCCTCATCCCTGTCGATCTGTAGTTTTACTGTACCAGGACCCGGCTTGCCTGTAAATCGCTCGGGCACTCCACGGGCAGCCTCAGCCGGGCCGACAAAGCACCCAAGCATCGAGCTCCAGATATACCCCTCCGATAACAAACGGCGGATTTGGCCATAAGCGTATGAATTGGCGTAAGGAAGAGCGGTGTCTGGATCGCGGTAACGCGAAGGCAATGAGGTGATGACACAAAGTGATGACGAGATTTCTATTATGTGAGGTTAGCCTTACAAATTCCTAAGAACAACCCAAAATGATACAACGTACTTGTCAAACGAGCAGGCTTTTTGGCGTTGAAGTACATGCTGTATTTGCGATTATTGGCGGTCGCATAATCAAAGTTTTCCAAGATCGTAAGAGTACGTCCTGTATGCTCGATCACTGAAGGGGGTTCTGGAATCTCTGCTTGTGCTGGTTCCTTCACAACTCCATTTGATAATTGTGATTCGGACTGTAATGTGGAATGTTGGTTTAGGCTCTGAGCTGGAGCATTTTCGGGCACCGTGGCTTGACTAGGTGCTGCAGTGGCCGAGGAGGCTTTAGGGGCCAATGCAATTCTAAGGCTGATAGCCATGGCCGATCCAACTGGCCGAGACTCGTCCACTACCGGCGGTTCTTTTCCTGTTGTACCGGCGTGTGATACAGGGGCCTCCACTGAAGTCGGTTGGGCACCAGCAACGTGCAGAGTGGCCAAACTTGCCTTGTCCGCTGATTCTGGAACTTTTTGGTTAATCTTGGCAGAACCTGCACCCGCTGCAGCCGCTGGAGGTTGATCAATATCCATAGGATCGTCGTTTTTGGTGGGGGGCTCAGGCAATTTTTGAGTAGAGCCATTCCCCGCAGAATCTAATGCATGGCGAGATGCTGGGATTTCCACAGCAAACGTCTTTCTCTCCGAAGGTTTAGACTCCAACCATTGCCTTTCAGCAGTGATGGGTTTATCTTGGTCAGAGGGTGGTACTGGTGTATTTGTGCCAATCTCTGGAGCTTTGCTTTCTACGGCATTGTTTTTGCCCTGCTCGGAAGGGGTGGCGATTGGCTTCGTCTCTGAAGAGTTTGCACCTGGCTGGCTGACATCTGCCCCGGAAGACACTACGGGTGTGTCTGTATTTTCTGCAGTCAGAGCTGTAGCAGTTTCGGGTGGCTTAGTGTCAGGCGCGTTTTGTTCTAATGTGAAGGTGGGAGGAGGTAGAGCGGGATTTGCTGGACCAGTGATATCGACTGCACGGGGATCTGGTGGTGGTTGCGATGTTCCCGGGGTAGATGCAGGGGCAGATCCAACGATGGTTGCAGACCCCATGACCTTTTCTTTCTCTTCCTTCTCTTTCTTTTTCTTCTTCGATTCTTCTTTATCTGCCTTGGGTTTGATATCAATTTTACCCACTCGCGTGAGACGCCCGTTAGTCCATGTAGCCACACCACTCCAGTAGGAAATCACTGGACCATCAAGACGGCGATTTTGTAGTGCCTCAATCCTCGCTCGTCTTTCGTCTGCTTTTCTTTTTTCAGACAGCTCCCAGCGATTTAGACTTTTGCTATTAAGCCGTTCCACTCTCGCAGCCTCAGCAAGATGATCTTCCTGGGTCATCTCTTTCGGTTTCAAATGGGCCTTCCGCTTCTCTGCCTCCTTCATTGTAGCGATGATCCGGACTCGTTTTTCCTGGCTGTCCTTGAGACGAGCATGCGTAAGCTCCTTATTAACCATGGTCTGTCGGCGCGATGATTGACGAGTAGGCCCATCCTCCACGGTGGGGATCCACGAGATGCGCTCTGACTTTTTCTTCGGACGGGGAGCGGCGGACATGGAGGACGGGGCAGTCGGATCGACCTTGACTCGTTTGCGCAATGTTTGGAATCGGAGGTCATTCTGGGCTCTCCGCTTCTTGCGCTCGTCTTTTTGTAGTTTCTGTTCGCCCTCGTAGTCGTTCTGAGCGTTCGGTCCTTGATCTTCATCCTCGTCCGACGATTCAAGCAATTCATCCTCTGCGTCGGGATCTGCCACATCCGCAAACTCATTATCGTCTTCGACTTCCTCAAAGAGAAGCGCCAAGTCATCATCGGCAGCGGCCTCAAGAAGGGCAGACATATGCAATCCTGCGGTACTTCGTTTCGCCCGTCCTTTGACCAATGACTCCACGGGAATCTCCTCTTCCTCCGAAGATTGTAGCCCAGACGATGGGTCTTCCTCCATAATGTCGGCCATGATGTGTGTTACTGGGGCGGCGGATGCCTTAGAATGGACGATTAAGCATCAGACGCGAGAAGGGGGCGCGCGCGCGACGGACTATGCTTGAATCGCGTGTCAATGATCAGCATAAATTTGGAAAATTATAACATATAGAGATGTGGATTCTGCCACGCGATTAAAGATGAGCCGTTGAAGTGTTGGGAAGATACCGGGCAAGGAGAGTGGCTTGAACAAGTAGTGGCGCGAAAGAAAAGTTGGTGCCTCAGGCGAGAAAAATAAGCTGGCCAATGACCTTAACTAACGTGTTTACATCGATCGACCTTGAAGCAACGACACAAGATTTCTTTGATAGTTTATTTCGTTCAACCTTCGTTGCATAGTGACTGATATTACCTAGATATTATCCTATAACTGATAAATCACCCTATTATGTATCGCGATGCCACGAGCCTCCTGGTTCTTCCACTGTACCGAATGCTTCCGAAAGCCTGACGAACACCCTGAAGATCTAGAAAGCATGGAGTTCTTCAAACTAGCAATCAACAGATACAGTCTAGTCTAGTTATATCCCCAACGCAGCCATGATGACCAACCCGATAGGGCTTCAGGGCCGACGCCTCCGGTAGGGAACAATGACGAGGACACGTACCTGACCCATATATCCCTTGCGCGCACTCAGAACACAGTCTTTCATGGGTTCAAACACTTAGTCGATTCTCCTTATATGACTGATTGCATCATATCTCATACCCCGGGATGATATATTTGCCTTCGTGATGAGCCTGCTTCATCCATATCCTGTAAAGGATTTCAGCGTTGAGGCATGACGCAGTGGAATGCGGGGCTTTTTTTCGTTTCCACTCTTGTCTCTATTTTCAGTCAGACCATGAGCGCTTTTCGTCCGAAAGAAAACCTTGAATTGGACTTTGCTGGAGGGAATACTGGGGTCATAAACGCCTTGTATTTGTACTAGACCTATACCTCTTCAGATTTCTTGATACTTCCCCATGTCCCACTAGAATGGAGTCTCCTTGGAAATAAATGACATCGATGGGGCTGTACCATTGCCAAACACCTGGAGGAACTGCCGATACCCGATATTATTTGGTCCCGTTTAGATGTTTGGAGTTTGAATGCACAGACGTGCAGAAAGTAAATACTTATAGATGTCTGTCTAGGTACTTATGCACATTGGATATCCTAAGATCTCGATGTGAAATGAAACTAGCCATAGAGTTATAGAATAAATATATCCAATTACATGCAATCAGTCAATTATATTCCATATTTTAAATCAAAATTCATCTGAATCAACAATCGAATTGTGGGTGAAGCTGAAGGAGGGCCCTCCACCAACCACAGCCATCTTCCTCGGGCATCCGGCCAGCTCCCCAACATCTCTTCTCCTTCTTTTCCTCTCCCCTTCTCATCCTCCCTTGACTTCTTCCTCACTTCTCTTTTTTTTCTTCTTTTGATTTCTGCATTCTTAGGGTGAATTCAACTTTCGGTTGGTATTGAACATACTTTCGGAGCGCACCACTAACTCACTTCCAGCCACCTCGATCCCTTTGGACCCGGATCATATCCTTTCCATCTTTTATTTCTCATTTGACGCACTCACTACCAGACTATCCTTGCGAATTTGCTGTGTTTTCCAGCCTTTGACGACCATAGAAAAGGACTAGTCCTTTTTTTTTTCTTCAGCTCAAATCGATTGCTTTTGGATACCTGCAGATTGTCATACACTCCGAGCAAACGGTGAGATTATCGTCAAAGACCCTCGACACTGCACAGTGGTGCTTGCATTTGGAAAGAGTTGATTTTGGTACGAAATATCCCCACGATTCATCTCGACTTTTTGGAATTGCTTTGTCGACCCCTCCCACTTTGCGACCCCCCCCAAGAGCAAAACACATATTTTGAACACCAACTGATTTTGAACGGTTTCTAGTGCATCCTCGATTCTTTGCTCTATCCTTATTCCATGTTTCCTGTCCCACAATTTTGAACGACGAAGCCACATTTAAGTTCCGACCTTGCTCCATTTTGGAATTCGCGCGGAGGTCATACTTTTGGACGAGATTCGGGCACTGCCTTGCTAAAGGCATAAATTGATAATCCATAATGTTGCCGGTTTCGCGACCTGACGGTCAGATGAATTTCAATTACATTCCAACCACCCAACCCATGTCGGGTACTTCAACGGGACGCAGCTCTCCCAGCGATGTGACCGGGTCTGGGAACCCAAGAATGCCGTATGGACCTTCTCCGGGGTCCATTGGCAGTTCGAGGCCGGGGGCTGGCTCCCCTTCTCATGATTTGGCATCACGTCTGTACTCGAAACGGTAGGTTTGCTTCCTATGGGATGTAAACTGCGACAATTAGCTGACACCTTGATTCTTCCCATAGAGCCCGTGAAATTCAAGCGCAGGAAGGTATTTCGCCTAGTATTTGGGGACCTCCTACGAGCGGCCATTCAACCCCGCTTCGTGAGAATATTCCCGAATCGCCGAGTCAAGATAGCTTCCCCGATTTGATCCCTACCACTAATGGCTCGATGGACAGCCCTGGCCGCCGGGCTCGCGCTGGAACGGTCCCGTCCCGTTTCCCGCCAATGGGCACACTGAATGAGATGGAGCTTCAACAGCCTTACATGCCGCAGACCTCACGACCAACACCCTCCACTAGCCCTTTCAGGCCTCCCGGCGTTTCCGGCATAGATACAAGTTCCAAGGTCGCGAGTTCAGCTGGTGCGCCCAACCCGGCATCGCTATCCCGTCTTCGAGCCGGCTCGATGCCGCAAAGAAGCAACTTCTTGGGGGGTGGCGGCCCCTTCGGCCCATCATTGTTTTCAACCAACTGGTCGACTGGCCGTGAGAGAGCTACAACTTTAACCAGCATTCGATCTTCGGAAGGGCCGACTTCGCCCAGCCACTCTTCTTTCTCGAGGGATGGACTTGCGGATACCGATGTGAAGACCTTGGATTACTTGGGGCTTGCTGAGACTCCTCAGCAGGGAATGGCCTCTCTTGCACGTCCCTCTATGGAAGCTTTGATGCAGCAGCAGCAACAGCAAGCTTCTGCGCTGCCGCCGCTCCTGGCTGAATTGGCGATGATGAAGAACAATAATCGATTCCGATCATACTCTGTCAATGCTAAGGAAAAGTATGCAGATGACGAGGACCTTGAATATGAGAGCCGTTACTCCCAACTCCCCTCGGGAACTATGACGCCAACCGCTGCTGCAACCGCCGCTCAACTTGCCGCCACACAGGCTCAAATTCACCAGCATAATCTCGCCGTTCAGGCATTTGCTAGCCATGCCTCTGTCAGTAGACCCCGGGCGCGGACTGCTGGAATTTTGGAAGCGCCTCCCCAGCGATCATCCATCCGCAACTACCTTGCCACACCTTCCCGCCTCGACAACAGCTTCAGTGCTGCTGACCTGCAGATCCCCGAGAATGGTGAATATGACGAATTGTCCGAAGCAGTTCAGCTCATGCATCTCGGTGGTAACGGTATGGCCACCATGGGTGGCCGACAGGCCGGCGAGATGACAGATGAGAATAACCAGGATGGGCCTACCCGGGCACTTTGGATTGGTAGCATTCCCGTGTCCACTACTGTCACGTCTTTGGAGGCGATCTTTGGCATGTATGGAAAGATTGAATCGACCCGTGTTCTAACTCACAAGAACTGCGGTTTTGTCAACTTCGACCGCCTTGACAGCGCCGTGCAAGCCAAGTCATTGCTCAATGGCAAGGAGATTTTCCCCGGAGCAGGTCCCGTTAGAATTGGTTACGCCAAGGTTCCTGGCGCATCGGCCACCGGTACTCCTGGTGCAAATGGCATCCAGTCGTCCCCCACTCCTGATCCGAACTTCAGATCAAATCCTGCAGCGGCAGACGGGGCAGATCGAGGGGATAACGCTAACGCCATCCCTCAGATTGCCGCTTTGGCTGATCTGTTGCCTGAGATGGTGCAAATCGTGCAAGAATTCGGCGCAAGTGAAGATGACGTGAAGAATATCACGACAAGCATCCAGACTTCCATCGCGTTCCAAGCCTTCGAGGATGAAATCCCCTCCGTCCAGGAAACGAGCCAGTCCCGCATGTTCGATGCTCCTCGCCTCCGTGACATCCGTAAGCGCATTGACAATGGTGCATGCTCGATTCAAGAGATTGAGGAGACTGCCGAGGCCATGCTTCCTGAGGTTGCAGAGCTAGCGTCCGATTATTTGGGCAACACTGTGGTTCAGAAATTGTTTGAATTCTGCTCTGAATCTACCAAGGAGCAGATGCTGTCTCATATTGCACCCCATCTCTCTGAAATTGGTGTTCACAAGAATGGAACCTGGGCTGCGCAAAAGATCATTGATGTCGCGAAGACTCCTGGACAGATGCAGTTGATTGTTGATGCTCTCCGTCCTTACACTGTTCCTCTTTTCTTGGATCAGTACGGAAACTACGTCTTGCAGTGCTGCCTGCGATTTGCCAGCCCCTTCAACAGCTTCATCTTTGAGTCTATGCTCAGCCGAATGTGGGAAATCGCACAGGGACGTTTCGGCGCCCGAGCGATGCGGGCTTGTCTCGAAAGCCACCATGCCACCAAGGATCAGCAGCGGATGCTTGCATCTGCTATCGCTCTCCACAGTGTGCAGTTGGCTACTAATGCCAACGGAGCTCTTCTGCTCACTTGGTTCCTTGATACGTGCACATTCCCTCGCCGCCGAACAGTGTTGGCCCCGAGACTTGTGCCTCACCTTGTTCACCTCTGCACTCACAAGGTTGCCTACTTGACTGTTCTGAAGGTGATCAACCAGCGTAACGAGCCAGAAGCTCGAGATGTTGTTCTGAGGGCACTTTTCTTCAGTCCCGGCGATGAAGTTTTGGAGAAGATCCTGAGCGACCAGACATCTGGCGCGACTCTGATCTTCAAGGTCTTGACCACGCCGTTCTTTGACGAGTCTATGCGGACTGAAGTCGTGAAGAACGTGTCCAAGGTACTCACAAAGCTCAAAGCCTCCCCAAGCCAAGGCTATAAGCGTCTGATGGATGAAGTGGGCCTCTCCTCGCGAGGTAGCGGTCGGGAGCACCACCATGGACGTGAACACGGAGCGAGCCACTCCACCCCGGAGAAGTCGCAACATCGCCAGTCCTCTCGCCACGGAAGCACAGGTTATCCGGCCCAGTCGTCCATGGACAGACAGTATAACGGGCAATTTAATCCCAACACGTTTGGACAGAACTCCGATACCCGTCCTATAACCGCCGACCAATCCAATCCCCAGTCCTTTGACCCATACTCGAGCAACGGGCTTGGAAACCACTTGAATAGTCTTGGTGGCGCAGGCGGATACAGCCAGGAATCTCTGAGCCAGCAACAGCTTCAATACCAGGCCTTCCTTGCCGCCCAGGCTCGTGGCGTTTCTCCAGGCTATCCTGGCATGCCGAGTGCCAACTATGGCTACCCAGCTGGCTCGCCTGCCGTGGATAGCCTGCGATCTTTGCAGCCACAACAGGCTTCCTCGCTGTCAGCCGGACCGGGCCAGATGAGTTCAAACCCGATGCTTTCCCAAAACAACTACCAGCAGTTCAGCCCCGTTGTCAACCCTGCCCAGATGTATCAATACCCTCCGCAATACTACCCCCAGGCACAGCCTGTGCAGGGGCAGTCGGGCGGAGGCCGACGTGGACGGGTGAGTTCATTCTCGGATCGACCCTAAACCGTGTAATGCGGCAATACTAACGTGCCTTTGTGCCCAGCGTTGATCCCATCTTCGCGTATGATTTCTAATCGATCTTCCTGCCTTCCCATCTACATGTATAAATTTTCTTGATCATCTTTTTCTTCTTTTTCTATCACATTTTTTGAAGTTTCTCATGGAGACCAAGCGGGTTTATCTAGCTACGTGTTGTGATTTCACTGTCCTATCTCTTCGCCTGATCGGACGCTGGATCGCCGGCAGGGGAGAATCGGACCCGGGAGAGGAACTGGATGCGCATGGTCGGTGAAAAAGTCTTGTGTCTCTTCTGGGTGGAGGTCCCCAGTTTTGTATCTTCAGCGTTTTTGAATGACCTTGTATCTTGTGATCTTACGATAGGACTCTTTTTCTCTTCTGTCTATTGTTTTAAGATCGAGATGTTTTGGCTGCCTAGTGGAGCATAGTGAATTGATTGATGCCGATGTGAAAATTATATTGTAGTGAATGCAAATAAGACGAATCTAATCGAATTGAAAAAAATCAGCTTTTTATCAAAATCCTTCCAATATTCAATTTATATGAGGCTGAGAACTGAAACCTCCACAACTACCCGGCTCAACCCGCCACTCATTTTACCATCGTCAACAAGGGAAAGACTAGGCCCAAAATGAGCAACAATACCCAAGAGAGAACCGCTATTCTTTTCCAGGATACAGATATCTACCTCCTCGACATTCCACACTCAATTGCACTCGCGCAAGAAGGGAGGCCACCACAACACCAACAACCAGCCCCAGAATCAAGTTCAGCCACAGAAAAGAGCACACACAGAAAGACACTGAACCTACTTTCATGCCTACCTATAAAAGAGCCATTCCCCTCTACTGAGCCCAAAACGCCAGCTGCTCTCGCTAAGGTCCTCAAAACCATTCCTATTTCTGAGAGGCGGTTCCACTCGGAACTGATACTGCCACTCGTGAGGGATTCTTTAGAAACCATCAAGGCCAAGTTTCCCGATATTCGTCGATGGTGCGAGGCTCGAGCAGTGCCCAATGAATCTCACGATAGCACAACACCAAGTGAGCATCCACGGAAGAGGCGGAGAGGAAACGATTATACGTGCTTAAAGTCTGTGTCAGATGACCAGGCTTCGAGTAAAAATGAACCACCAATGATTCTATCGACTACCTCACCGAACGACTTTGAGTCCTTGTCAGATCTCGCCATTGTCAAGAACCCATCACCAGAGCCCGCAATCATCAGGGTTGGAAGCTCGCACCATGGTGAAACGGACTCTCATCTGTGCGAATATATGGTCCCACCTGAGTCAGGCTTTGTGCTTTGTACATTGCCTCTATTCCAAGCTGAAGTAGATCGTCCGTCTATATCCAATAACTACCCCATCCCTGGGCTTCCCCAGTACCAGAAATTCAATCTCATTCTCATGGACCCGCCTTGGCCAAACAAATCCGTGCGACGCAGCAAGCACTATCAAACACATCACTATTTCGAGATGGATGTGCTTACTGAGGGATTAAGAGATATACTGCGTGTACACTCGCACGACCTTGAAACAAAACAGGGGCTACGTCTATCTGAACCTCGTCCGGCACGCCCAATCCAAGGCGAACAGTCTATAGCTGCAATATGGATTACCAATGCTGAAAAGGCCCGGCGAGCCGCATACAAGGCCTTGAGCGATTCAGGCTTTTGCATCTGCGAGGAATGGATCTGGGTCAAGACTACGTGGGACGGACAACCAATCTCCGCACTGGATGGTGTTTGGCGAAAACCGTATGAGATCCTTGTCATTGGCCGCAAGAGTGACCACAATGCTACTGGCAATGCTAAGGGACACAATGCATCGCCCCTGTCTGAAATGGATGATCTGACACGAATGAGTGAGGCTGTTACGAGAAGACGGGTCATCGCTGCGGTTCCAGACTTGCATTCCCGTAAACCGAACCTGAAATCTATCTTTGAGAATGTGTTTTTCACGAAGGCGGGTCAAATCCAGGAATATTCTGCCCTCGAGGTGTTTGCGCGCAACTTGACAGCTGGCTGGTGCGCTGCCGGTAATGAGGTCCTCCGGTTCAATTCCCGTGAGTGTTGGACCGACCTTGGGAGGTAGTTGCAGGCTGTGCAACACGTTTTCGGGTTGACCGACCAGACGCCTTACATCGGTGACTTCAATAATGCGGTCAAGTTTGACTCAGCGCTTATGTGCACAGCAGATACTTGCTTCTATATGATGCATGATGCACACATGTACGTACAACATATAGAGGTGGTTCAGCATGTCCAGGTGCTTATTATTCGCACGGGAGAAAGCCGATCGATTAGCCCTGGATCCAGTGCGGCAGAGATTCCGCGCTGACAAAAATATAAATTAAATATTTTTTTTTTGATAAGAACGGCAACATGGAAGTGACTTGATTAAAGATACATAAAATAATATCTCAAGTTCTATCGGTTACATGCCTTGGAGACGTGGGCCTTTGTTTGTACTTGTGTGACCCCTCAGATCTGTCAAGACAGAATTTTCGACAACATCGCCTGCCTTGAAGGATTCTTCAGACATGACTCAAGATCAAGAAAATGGTTCAGGGGCCAATGACAGTTCAGAACGACCGAAATGCTTCAACAGCACATTCCAAGAAGTTCTCTTTGTCCTAACTGCCACCATGGCCATTGGCCAGCAGTCATTCTTCCAGGGCTGTATTGTGGGAGTAACAGCATCAATTGGCAAGGATTTACATATGAATGCCGCCGAAATCACCTGGATTAATGCCGGTGCTTCGTACGTACAGCTCCCATTTATATTTATCCCCCGATTTTCCCCAGTTTTTATATGAGATGTTCCCATACAACATATCTTAAAACATCGCTAACCATGCAACCACAGCCTCACCAGTGGCGCCTTCCTGCTTACCTTCGGGAAGCTAGCTGACATGTTCGGACGGAAGGTGCTCTTCGTCATCGGCATGGCTGGTTTCACTTTCTCACTGCTTATTGCTGGCTTCGCAACAAACGCCATCTATATGGATGTCTTCTCGGGAATTTCAGGTTTATTCGCAGCCGCTGTTGTCCCACCCGCGGTCGGTGCCCTGGGTGCTACTTATGAGACGCCCTCGAAGCGCAAGAATCTTGCTTTTGCCTGCTTCAGCGCGGGAAACCCGCTGGGTTTTGTCGGCGGCATGATCATCTCCGGTGTCGCGGCGCATTTGTATAACTGGCGTGCTTCCTTATGGACTCTCTCTGTTGTCTATGCCATCTTTACCATTTTGACCGTGTGGACTGTGCCGGCTGATGGGTTTGATAGAGCGCCTTTGAGCTTTGAGACTATGAAACAATTTGATCTCCTCGGGACGGCGCTGGTTATTGTTGGGTTTGCGTTCTTTTCGAGTTCGCTTTCGTATGTGTTATACCCTAGTGAATTGGAAAATTTCTTGGGCTTTCCCGCTGACCAGTTTTATAGTCTCGCTGCAGATGCACCAGATGGATGGAAAACGGGATACGTCCTTGCTCTGTTTATTGTGGGCTTTTCCCTTCTTGTGGCGTTTCTGTACTGGCAGTCCGTTGCTAAACACCCTCTGATGCCTCTTTGGGTTTGGCGAGATCGGAACTTCTCTCTTGTATGTGTGCCCACTTTCCAAGGTATAGGTCGAAACTAACTGTACAGCTTATTGCAACTTGCTGCCTTGGCTTCATGGGTTTCTCTTCCGTCAGCTTCTTCCTCGCCCTCTACCTTCAAAACTTGAAACATCTGTCTGCCCTTGAAATCACCGTCCAGCTACTCCCAATGGTCGTCAGCGGAACAATAGTCAATATCATCTGCGGTCTGATCCTGCACCGCGTAAGCAACAAAATTCTAACCGGCATCGGAGCCCTGGCGTACACAGTCGCGTTCCTGATCCTGAGCTTCATGAAGGAAGATGCTACCTACTGGGCATATATATTCCCAGCGCTAGTTCTTGTCGTTGTTGGTGCTGATATTCAATTTAACGTTACAAATGTACGCTTCCACCCCCCAGTGTCCTTTCTATTCCTTGTCGTTTTGCAATACATTCCGTTCTTGGAGGGTATTGACTAACTCCGTCTAGATGTACGTGATGTCCACCCTGCCGCCATCCCAGCAATCCATCGCCGGTGGCATCTTCAACACCGTAAACAAGTTGTGCAGCAACCTGGGCCTTGGAATTGCTACTTCTGTACAAAGCTCGGTCGCCCATCAGATGACCGCTTCTACGCCTGCAATTCGGCCTTACCTCTCGGTTTACTGGTTTTCAGCTGCGGCTACGGGACTGTCTCTGGTTTTGGTGCCATTCTTGACAATTGATAAACAGGGAAATTCTGTCCCGCAAAATGACCAGTTGATTTCCGGCGAGGACGCTGGTGAGAAGACAGCTGTTACTGTCAATACGAATTCTGTGGATTCCTCTGCTGTGGATATCACGGAACACGAGAAGAGGTAGACTACTGGGCTGACCTTTTCGGTCCCAAGGGTCGGTATTATGATTGAAGAGGAACATGTGTGCGATATCTGAATACACTAGATATACCTGGGCATGTATATACATACGTCACATCTCAGTATATCCTGACTATTTTTTTCAGCGGAATGCTAGACACAGACAAATATCATTAGATGTACTTAATAACAATAACATATCACTGCCTTCGAGGCACAGCTCAATCAAGTCATACTATCTATCCCGAATACCAGATCCAGAAACGCCCCCTCGAAAGAACAAAGCCCACTTTAATCAAACAAAGGTCCCAAGCTAACTAAACTAAACCTCAAATCAGGATTGCCTCCCTGGGCCTCCATCTTCAAGAACCTCCTAACCCCCAACTCCAACGCAGCCTCACTAAGTGCATCCTCATCTTCCTTCAAAACACCCCTAGCCAAAGGTCCCTTCCTCCTCCCATCCAACTCCCAAAGCGTCCCATCAAGCCCGCGAACAAAAGCAACAAAATGCAAATCAACATTATCCTCCGCCTCCGGCGCAGCTGTATCCCCCAGTTTCGCTGCATCAGCATGCGCACTCTCCAACGCCTTACTATCGTACAGTAGATCAGCGCGCTTTACCGGCTCCAATCCCTCCGCTTCCTGGAGCAACGTATCCAAATCCGAGCCGGCGATGACATGTTTCCGAGCCTCACCGTTCGAGACCGCGTGTAGAAGCCCGATCAGCCCGCATGCGTTCCGGATCGTTTGCTTGAACCACATCACGGGTTCGGAGGGACCAGAGCCTGTGTAGGTAGGTTTAGAAGCGTCTTCGCTTTCGCGGGAGGCTTCGTAGGTTTGGGAGACGGGGAAGACGAGGAGGAGGGCCTGGGAAGGGCGGGGAACGAAGGCGAGGAGGTCGGGCTCATCAATGGAGAATACATCGGTGAAGCCGATAGTTGAAGCGAGGCCAAGTTGGTGCACTAGGTGTGACATTACTTCGGGGTTGTTTTCTGGAAGGGTTAGCTTTGGGGTTTGGGGATACAAAGTTGCGGGGTCGGACCTAGTGGCACGAAGGCCTTTTGGGTGGACGGGACATCGACGTGTGCCATTCTGTGTGATTTAGTGGTGGTGATGGTGATGTGTAGTGTCGAAGTTGTTTAGTAGTATGTCTTTTGGGATAAGGTGAGGTTTGAGGGGGACATCGGAAGGATTGCGGGGTTCGGGAGTTTCCACGTTTTCTACCGTGGCATTCGATATTAATTAATTGCCCTTTAATCTTTAATTTGAGCTTTGACAGGAGTTCGCTGGATATAATTAGATATACTGTCTGATTGTAGCTTATGCTGTAGGTCTACAATATGAACAGTACAAATATTATGTTCTGTATAGTATCTGCATCGGGTTGTACCTGCCAAAATTAGTATTGTTTGCTTTTTGGAGTAGGAATGGCCTTAGAACCCTGAAAAAACAGGCCACTATTTCCCAAATGTTTGCATATGTTTGCACGTGGCGTTTTAAACCTTTCAACGTTCAACAACAAGTCTTCCAAAATAGCAAATCCAACCTGGTCATTCTGCACTGGCCTATCATAAAACAGGATTTAGATCCTCATTCCCCAATCCACAAAAAAAAGGAGACTTTTAATTACCGAGGTTAGGTCCCCGGGACTGTTAGCCAGAATGGACGATAAATATGACAAAGCCACACGCTAAATGGGCGGGCAACAGAAAAGCATTTGTTTCCAAGACAAGCTAGTACACGCCATTAGCGTCATCTCAATATGATCGCCAATTTGCCTGCTCAAAATATCTGCCAGTCCCGGTAGTGATTGACACACGGGACCCATTGCCAATTTCGTACTTGCAATAAAGTGGGAACGGAAACAGATCAAACGGAGCTAGACCCAACGGTGTGGGCTAGCTTTTACCAACCCCTGCCTAAAAACCACTAAAATTCTAGATGCGGAATTCTTCATAGAAAACTGTCCGTCTTCTTGGCAATCCACGCTAATCGCAGACACATGTCATGCTCGGCAGTCCCAATACTATGCCCTATACTCCATGTTTTTAATTAATATCCCGTCTTCTATTCGCATAGCCCTACGGGGAGTAAAACCCAGCTCTCATTTAACCTAATTTACTCCGTATACGAAGCTACGAGGCCAGCCGTGTTGTCGATCATCTCGAGGTTGGCCTAGCGTTGTTTTTCGCCGGTCGACCAAAAAAAGCATCTTTGGCAAGCCAAGGGCTTAAGCGTTCTAGTTCTTCCCTGCTTGCCCCTGTATTTCATAGTTTTCTGCGGGTCCTGTCAGAGAGAACGTTCTTATTAAGAATCCTTCTCCCCCACATATGAATCCTTCTCGTCGTGACAAGCATTTGCCGTTATGACAGACGAAAAGCAGAGGAACACGGCGGTTCAGACCGTTGCCGCGGTCTTCCTGCCTATCGCCACTATTACGGTGATGCTTCGCATCTATGTGCGCGGCTGGGTCGTAAAGGCATTTGGATGGGATGATGGGACTATGGTAATTGCACTGGTATGTTCGATCTTTAAAATCCTTCGGTCTTGAATCCTTCAGTCCGACATGACCCTTCCCGAAACTGTTTGTGGAGCTATAGAGATCTAACAAATTTAATCTATCACAGCTATTTTATGGCATGTTCTGCGGAACCATGATCGGAGGCTCGATTTATGGCACAGGCTATATGCTCGAACACCTCGCTGTTGACGATCGTATCATCGCAATGAGGTACTGGTGGCTCTGCGAGATCGCCTACTGTTTCGCCTCGGTTGGGTGCAAGATCTCCGTCTGCATCTTCCTAATGCGCATCACTATTAGACCCCTTCATATCTGGCTCCTCTATATTGTCATGGCTTTGACCGTCATAGCAGGCCTGGTTTTTATGTTCCTCATGCTTCTCCAGTGCTCGCCACTGGAATACTTCTGGACTCGGCTGGCCCAGGATCCCAAGATCATAGGCAAATGCATTGATATGACTATCATCGTCAACATGACCTATGTGTATAGTGCATTTGCCGCACTGTGTGATTTCACCGTCGGCTTGTTGCCCATCTTCCTCGTGCGCAATCTTCACATGAGGCGCCAGACTAAGATCGCTGTTATGGGTATCTTAAGCATGGCTTGCATGTATGGTCTCGTCTCAGATTTTCCTATTGGCTCTAGATTGCTGACAAGACATTCCAGTGCTTCATCAGCGGTTATCGTCCGTATTCCCTTCGTCGAATCATTCCAGAATCCTGATTTCCTCTGTATGTTCCAACTCATCCTTAATGATAGACAAAGCTAACTGAATTCCTCATTCCAGACGCAACATACCAAATCGCCATCTGGTCCAACGTCGAGGCAGGCCTCGGCATTACAGCTGGTAGTCTCGCAACTCTTCGACCTCTTCTCCGCAAATGGACGGGTTCTCGCTCAGACCCAGAGTACAGCTCTGGATTCCCAGGCGGACGCTCCCGGTCTGCCTCGCGCCAGTTAGGCGGTGGTGAAAACCGTCCTTTTCCTTTAGGCTCGTTGGACGAGAGCGTGCAGTCCCACTTGAGACCAGATAAGCTTGCTGTCACTGTCACGACTATCAATGGCCAGAGAGATCATGATGATATCTATGACACGAGCCCGAGTAGCAGCGAAGAGAGGTTGACTATTGATCGACCCTCACCTCGATTGCCGGACCTGGGGTTCGGGATTCGTCGCACATTTGAGGTTACGCAGACCTCGACGGATAGGCATGATCCTGAAAGGATTGCGAGGGAACATGTATAATTGAAAACGTACATATATGACTTTAAAATGTATATTATTATCTTATGATCTCACTATCATTGACTAATTCGTTCTCTTCGAGGTTTGAATAATGTATTGCTTTCCGGTAAGGATGGGTTGCGGTTAATGGCCAACGTTGCAGCGTGAAGAATGGGTTGTCTTTGATTCATGCATTCATTAGAACTTTTGGTCAACATGTAACTGAGATACCTCTATTGACCAGGCTGCTTTCCTTGCTTCAACGGCTCGAAAATATCCGTCCAAAGCTCACTAGCCTCGCCCAGGAAGTATGTCAAATCAACATCAGCCAGACTAGCATCCTCATCTCCAGGCATAGTCTCAAGCTGCGAGATCAGGTTCTCCAGTCCAAAAGCCTTACCCGTTGCCTGTGTTGCACCAGCTTCGAGCATAACATTGACAACATGGATATGGAAATGGTAGTAAGTTGGTTGATCTGCGAGATTCAAAAGTCAGCCAAAACCCCCGATGCAACGCAATTCAAGCCCAACTCCCAACTCACAATGAACATAAAGCTTAATCTGATCCTTTTCCAAAGCAGGATACATTGAAACCGTAGCCTCAAGCACCCTATCCCTCAAATACTTCAACCAAGGCACAAAACTCTTCTTGAGATCCCTCAAACTCCAAATATCCCTCCTCTGCACCAAAGCCAACAAATGCAATGACCCCATACTCTTTCGATCCCAATTCAGATCAGGCAACATCAAAAACCCATCTTCAGGCCCGTGCCCCTCATCCCGCAGAATCACATCCTCCTGCTCAGTCCTGCCCTCGAGGATATTAAACACCCAGTTCAACCGTCCTTCCTCGCGCTTCGCTTGCATATACGGCCGCACGTGGGTGCGGTATATCTGTGCCGTCTCAGTTACCATACGCAGCTGCTGGTCCGAGTACTTCTTGATGTGTTGTGCTGTGCATGGCCAAATGAGGTTGAGCTTGAGGTCTTGCTGAGGGTGGCTGGCAGCTTCGGCGGGTATTGGGTCTGTGTTATTCCCGCTGGATGAGGCAAGGTACCAGCGGTAGATGTCGTTGTCTCCTAGGTTGTTGATTCGGGAGATTGCGGCGTGGAAGGCTTGTAGCACGGCGAGGGATTCAGTTGCGAATGCGGCTCGTTCCGCTATCAGGATACCTTGAGCGTTGTCGATTGTGCCTAGGAGGGCAATTCGCCGGCCACTTTGGTCTGGGGGGTGTTTTTTTTAGCCTATTGATTGCTGCACGGAGTGGGGGTGGGTGAGTCGTACCTTGTTTGAGGAGCTTGCTCACTTGAAATTTGGTGATTAGTGCCTCTGGAGCAATCTTATCGGTGTTCGGGGAGTCGGCCATGTTTGGAAGCTTTCAATGTTCTGATGTAGAGAAGTTGGAAATGAAGTTTAACATGTTTTGTAGATTTATCCAGCTTTATCAGGTGGGGCGGTCAGGCTTATCGGTTTGGTGTAGATCTATGAGATGGATTCTTTTGTAATAATGTTGACGGTAACATTGCCGCCTCGGGAAGTGATCGGCTCCCGGATTCCAGGGTGAGTTAGTCACCCCGCCGCCCTAAGCTGCCCACTGAGCGACCCTGAGCTGCTCAGTGAGCAACCTGATCGCTCACCCCGGTGCTCTCCCCTGATCAGCCCCTTCACCCTCCGTCTTGCCTTCTAGCTTTCGCCTGCTCCGATGGTAACCGCACTGCCTACCGGTGTTCCTGGGAGTTCTGGTCTGGAGATGACGTATTCCCACGTCGGTACAGTGACTTGCTGTCCTCTTCGAACTTTCCATCGGTTGACTCGATCCCTTCGGCTTGCATGAGATATTCAGTACCACCTCGCCTCTACACCCTCTCATACGTTCTCTCGCTAACGCTGCCGACACCGCCCAGCAAACGAACCACGAAAATTCACCGTTGTCCTCGTTCCTCCATATACTGTGCCAATTTGATCCCAGGAACAACATTCGCACCAGCCTTCGGGCAACCTCTTTTTGTGCGGTATACCTAGGCCTCGAACAACTCGCCGCGCCGTGTGACGCAAGTCGACGACATCGGCTGACGGATCTAGTTTAGTTTCGGGCTAGATATCTGCCACTGAATGAATTAAGCTAGCATTCCTAGGAACCCTTTCCTATAACTGATCCCTCGCAGCTAGAAATGGCTCTGCGATTGGCTGCAGCGAATACTGGGGCCTTGTCGATAGATCTAGAATCTATGCCGGTTCTGTCGACAATTCGCTGCTCTATCTCACGGGCTGATTGAAACGATGAATCGAAACAAATAAATAGTCCCAACTATCCCTCCTTTGCAGCGTTTGTTTGAAATATCATCGAACGTGAACTTTACTGCCTCCTGCTTTGATTCCCATTCATTCAGAACCTCTTGAATCTACCTACCATGGTAACGCTGAACCATCAAAGATTTTGGCAGCCATTACCAAGAGCTTCAGTGAGACGCTCTTCCACCGGCTCAGAAACCCAGACTATCGATGTAGTGAGGCAATCGGACGCCCCAGAAGAAAGAAATGAAGCAGACTACACCCTGGGGAATAATGTGCCACAAGAAGAACGCAGTACATTGAGTCTCGGTAAGACATATTTTAAACACCCTCCCCCCATGCCCCTTGGAATTAATACGGTCTCTCCAATTTTAGAACCCGGCGAGCCCCCTCGAGCCAATTCGCCTGAACTCTATCTCAATGATGCAGCATCAGCCGCTGGAAATTATCCTGACTACCCCGAGGAAGTCGCTCTTTATCCTTCCTCCCGAGATACTGCCTCCGTGACTGGCTTAGAAGGCCCTGGTACGACGAGAGTCTTCGATGTCTTTGAGGACGATGGTACCAGACAAAGCGACGGGGGGTATTACAGAGATTGTAATCCAAACGAAAGGAAGCGAGCTTTGGGATATTCAAATATATCCTCTCCGAAACGACGCCGGCACCGGACTTCTACAGTCACAAATGCGAACAAGCCGCGAGGAAGACGAGCACATAAATCAGGAGCCGGAAATCTACCGAGCGACATCACAGAGGGCGATTCCGCGGGCAATCTCGCAGGCCTAAGGAATGCGATCGGATATTTAAAGCGCGCTTACAGTGTAGTCACTGCTGAGGCCAAATTTTCTGACGACCTCGCGGGTGCAGAAATTCTCAAAGAGAATCTTGCAGTGCTCCAGCTTGCAACAAAAACGCTACAACACGCATACGGCATCATCGCAACAAGCACCACAGCAATGGAAAATTCAGTGCGAGAGGATACGACTGTAAAACCACGGCCAGGTTTTACCCGCAGGAAGTGGACCCCCGAAGATGGGCGTCGACTCTTGAGGTTGAAAGACTCTCAAAAGCTGTCATGGAGTAGTATTCGCGATTCGTTCCCCGAAAGAACTATGAATGCACTCAGGAGCCAATACTCTCGGGAGACTTCCAAGCATTTGGAAGCTTTTTCGAGTAAGGGGAGCCAATCGGTCAGCGCTGGTCGGCAACCAAAGTACACATCAAAGATCCGAAGAAGCCCTAGGCTAGGCCAACCTCACCAGGTCAAAAATATGAGGAGCGAAGTCGAGCACCACCGAAGGTATCCCTCGCGTGCAAGGAATCATTGCGGTGATTCAAATGCATTGAAGTTGGATTCCATTGATCCCCGACTCCGTGACCTCGGTAATGCCTAAGTCCGCCCCACTGTATTTTTTTCTGGTGGTAAGACCGGCATAGGGTCTTTGGGCGGCAATATATCTTCTGCAAATGCGAATGACGGTCAATGCTACAATATCATTAGAGCAGAAGGTTGTGTTTCTTCTGAGGAGTTCTTTATGTAGATACTGAGCCTATATTCAGCGAGTTGAGACTTCTTGCACCGATTACATGATACAGTTTTTTGGTGAAGTAGAAGTCCGTATAGAGACCTGCTAGAGCTTACGTAGTGTAGAGACTGGTATTTTCTTCAATATGCACAACAAATATAGGTCAAAATCTTCTACCTTCCAAAATTGGCGCTAGAGACTTATATCTACGAACTGATCTTGGAAGGCGGTTGACTACAAAGAATTATGCAGCAAACGAAATGTATATGCATTGAAAGGTGACAATCGAGCTGGCCGTGAACCTCTCACGTGTTTTTATTAGCTTCCAATAATAGCAGATATCGTCGACTATCTCTACCGAGATGTAACGCGCAGAATGAGAGTTCGACCGAGGCGACCCAGATAATCCTATTTTTGGAACCTCTGCCAGTTCCCAGAGCCATTCTGGCTCCCAGAAGAGGTGTCCTGTATTACTGGGAGCGTTATTGCATGCTTCCAGCAGGCTTGTTTGCGATCCTGGGAACACTTAGCCTCCTGGGAGTGCTAATAGTCGCTGTCAGAGATATACTTTAAGCATACAGGATGAATGGAGATGATCTGCGGGACCCAGATGGTGCATATGGGTTCCCCTGAACGCGAGGAAGCCTGTATCTTTTGCTTTTCCGCGCTACGTCTTGTATCTAGAGTCAACTATAATTGTTCACCATATTGATTATTCATGACAAGACACTTCCATCTCTACGTATACGAGAGACCCTCGCAGTCGCTCTCAGGAACACAGTTCAAGTCTCCCAGAAGCTGATCAAATGCATCCACGCTTTCACTTCGTAAGACTCCTTGAGTTCCGGGTTCTTCCTAACCCAATTTGAAATAATGCTCATGAGATGCTTATCTGCGGTTATTTAATATAATGCCTCTCATGGTAGAAGTGTTTCAGAATATACATATCAAGAATCTATAGAGTAGGTTCATATTTAGGTTTTTATTAATCCTTCAGCAGAGACATGGGCCTGTGCTCCCCTTGAGGACTTTGCCCCTGATATTTAATGGCTAGCTCGTCCATCTTCATTTGAATCGGCTCAGGGTGATTTGACTCCTTGTTCTGTGAGCGTCCAATAAACTTGAATTAACGAGTGAAAACAAGAGGAGCAGCTTACTATTTGTTCTGTAGATAGAGGCCACTCTTTGGCGTTCGAAGTCAACGTGTATAGTTGGCCTGTCTTCTTCATTCGGAGAACGAAGTGGATGTCGGCATCACATTCTGTACAATACTCGAAAATCTTCTTTAATAGTGTCTCCCTCCTTCTCAGACTTTTTTGATTTCCCCTTCTGGCATCAGATGTTTTGAACTTGCTGTTGGCGATAGTTGTAGGCAATGATATTTTTATCACCGGAGAGGGTTCCATTTGAATTCTATCCGCTAGCATCGGTCAAGTGGCTGTAAATACTTTTTGTTACCTAGGATATGATTTAATATAAGGTGCATAATGTCTCTCCGGCTCAACTGACAACGACAATGACATTTATTAGAATTGATTTGTGTTGATAGATGGATCCTGTGGTAAAGCAACTCAAGCTGTCATGTCTTCAACGCCTATGACTTCCGACTTGACCAAGCAAGTACCCGTTGAATTTGGTTTTCATTCAGCAAACATCACTTAAACGAGGGCCATAAAACCATACTATTATCATTGTAAGGGTTTATATTAGCTCAGATTGGAGATAGGAAGTGACAGAAAGGCGAAGATCGAGCCCCATTTGAGGTCAACCATCACCTGCTCTCATGTTCGGTAGATATTTGCCAGAGACGTTCAGATAGCACTTTTATGTACCATAAGGACGTGTAAATAATCTTCTAAAATGAGCTGATATCCAGGGTCATGGTTTCTATAGAGATATGACTGCTTGTAATGCCATGTGCCTGTGCTATTGCTATCCATGTGTCCTCCTCTTGGGTAGACTCTAGACAATTGGTCTTGAGAGCCACATTAGAATACCCAGGATTAATAATCACCTATTGCTACTAGAGCATTCTGCAAAAATACCATCTTGGAAATTATGATTGTAGCCCCTTCACTGTGATTCACAAGTTTAATTCCGCTGGTCTTGCCTTAAATAGATTGCATGTCAGAAAATTATTCCGCAGTGACAGTGAAGTGACAAGCCACTATTTGAGATAGATAACACCAGACTTGAGTTTCTATAACCTCTCACCAGAGGTAAGCGAAGTGGGATGGAATGGTTTGACGCGTCAAACTTTTAGCACAGCCTAGGCGGCACTGTATTCAAAATGTACTGGAAATCCGGTATCGATTGTCATTTGTGTATTGTGATTTCCACTCTCGTGCGCATTACTGGCATAGCCACAGCGCTGGTAAGCTCAGCCACAATTCTATAGATTACCCCCCTCGTCTGTAATGGAAAAACCCGTACCGCTGTGTTCGATACACAATTTCGGTACCAACTTCAGCCTGGTTCATACCATATTGCAACGTTGAACGTGGCCACCCTACACATTACGGTTGCCTCTGAGTATGGAGCCTAATTTCGTAGCAAACCACTATGCCTCTGGACTGTACTTTGGACGAGACGTTGTGAACTACGCCAATGCCTCTGTTGCCGCCCGCATTTTATTTTCATGTATTCTATCCAGAGCGAACCGTTCTTAGGGATGCCCATCAGAATTGGTCATGAATTCGTATATTTAGTTCGTTTGTCAATCTAGTGTATGTCTCTCTATGTTATCTCCAAAAGAGAACTGACGTTCATCGTGAATCAGCAATTCACCTCATCTTTTCGAGTTCTCTTTTACTACCAGTTAATTTTCCACTGCGCTGTAAATACCAATCTTGTCCCGGCCCATTGCATCACCAACTCCAAACCCTTGGTGTACAACTTTCGAGAACATTCCCATCATTCCAAAGAGCAAATCACGGTGTGTAATGTTGTCATGCCACATCAATTCTGGCGACGTGACTGGCATCTGGCCGAGCTTTCCATACATCTTTAGCCCAATCAGATGGGGCTACTGGTCTTGTAAATCGTCCGTTTGCTTCTAATTTAGTGCGGTTGAGAAATCGGAAGCTTCATTTGAACGTGTTCTTCGAGATTTATTCGATGTGTCACCAGGGATTGAATAAATGGGGTAGGTATAGAGGAAGAGAACGCCTTTTATAAAGAATTCATATGAAAACTACCTCGTCTTCTTCAAGTCCCAGCTGCTCTGCAATTATCTTTTTAACTCTAGCCTCGATGCTTGACATTTTGAAGGCTGAATGGCAAGGCGCAGGAGTGGATCGATGTAATCACAGGGATGCATGGCTACCTTATCCCGGTTTATACCGATTTCTTATCGAGTGAGTAGATCTCGCACATTAGCTGGAATCCCCTGCGCAATGATGACACAGGTTGCCAGACTACACGTAGCGGTGTACGACCCCTGTAACCACCACTGCCTGAGGGGTTGTAGACAATATATGGGATATGGGAGACTAATCGCTCCGATATTACGTTCTTGGCAGTGCTTTAAACTTACTGTAATGCCCTAGAATCAATCTAGAGGTCTTAGAGTAAGAGTTAATAAGACGCGGGCATGATGGCTTTATAGGGGCATTTGACAGGTGCTATACTGGTGAATGTAGCCTCGAATCGCTGTGAGAGAGAGTTGGTTGTCGGATATTGGCTACGGAATAATACACAGCGATTAAGCGGGTTTATGACGGCATCGGATCGATCTTCTTACATACACATCTTGGCACGCTCTGCTAATTTTGGCAATGCGGGATCGGCGAAGCCGCACATGCGCATAAGCTCCTAGGCAGGCATAGCGTAGTGGACCCGTTACGCTATTCAAATTCATCTCTACACCGCTACTTTGCTTCTGCGATAGATTTTATGACGAGACCGATCAACCAAAGCAATAGTGGAGCCCAAAAATGCCCCTCAATTACCTAGAGTGCTTTTTGGAGTCGATACCCTGTATAACGTATCAGACGCCTATTCGTAATATGATCTGGCTACCTAATTACACCGACTTTCTCCCATGTGAAAGATTTTTCTGTATTCAGTGTTGAGTTTGTTGATCAATACTATAAGTTTAGTTTATACACCCGTTCAGCTGAGAAATTGTGCAGATTCTCTTTTCTTATCTGCCTTCCTAGTCCCTCAAGTGTTCTTTCCTTTCTTCCCCTCTTGCTTATGAGTGTGAGTGTGTAGCTAGTTGTCGCCCTAAATGACTGCCACTTCCAGGAAAAACCGCGCTGGTTTCGAGACGACCAGCCGCCTCCTGGCTCAAGTTGTGAACGAAGGGCTAGCAACCGCGAGGGTAAAAACTTCAGGGAACATGCACCAGGAATATCTCATTTTGACCAGCCATCAAGAGAGCTTCGAGAACCCTGAACGCTGGGTCAAGGCTGGGTTATTGCCGGATACCCACTATGAGCTCAGAGACGGCCAAGTGATCTCTCTCGTACGACCGGGAAACTTGAAACCGTTGATAAGTATCGGAACGTTTTCCATGGAAACCGAAGTGCTGGAACCGGAGGTAATCTTCGAGCACATGCGTCCCTGGCTCTTGAATGTGGCAGATGAATCTCTGCTCCAGGAAATTGGGAGAGAGCTGAAAAATTCCAGTGATAACCAAGGTTAATAAGCCCGCTAAACTAATTATTCTGCATCACTAACGAATCCTAAATAGAAAAATGGCTCGAAATTAGCGAGTGCATGGAAAGAGCGCTCAATTTCGACTCGTCTTCGATAGAATGGGAGAGAGCCATGGTCTTTGGCCATCCCAGTCATCCGGTAGGAACAATCGATAACAACCAGGGATTGTGTGCAAAGATTAATAAAAGTATTCAATAGTATCACCGCCTCTGTTACGCACAGGTTCCATTAAAACCTCACAGTCCCAACGATCTCCCTGGGATGTTGACACCATCTATCGCCTTTGTATCCGTTCTTCGCATCGACATGCATCTCTCTGGTTTATTCGAAGAGACCCTGGCCCCTCTTCTTAGGACACTAGACATACCTAACCCGAGTGATGATCGATTGGTTGTTCCCTGTCTCGTTCAACAACTCCCGGCCATTAAAACATACTTTCCCAGTGCCGTGGTAGTCAAAACCACCAAGGAATGCGCAGACGCGCAGACATCCATGCGTACCTTGACTATCCGACCGGAGCTAGGGTTTCCATATCACATCAAGCTCTCGTTGGCTTGTAATATCACCTCCGCACTACGGACAATTACCCCATGGAGTACGATGGGCGGTCCAGTGTTCAGCGAACTACTCGAGCGATTCCTTCCTCCAGACATGTGGGTATTCCGAGAGATTGGCTCCATCACAGGCAATCAGCCGGATTTTAACCAAGCCAAGCACTTTTCCTGTATTCTCCGTGATGATCTAGAAAGAAAAGCCCAAGCAAATGATGAAACACTGGTCCTGGCTGCTGTATTGGCACAACATCCCCCAGAAACTAATACTTCTTACGCTGAGATCTTGTATAATTTGGATGATCTCCAGAAAAAGAAGAATTGGTTCCGAAAGTAAGTATTTCATGCAGTAACCACACACCTTGCGGGAGGGATGTTGATATTTTAATATAGATATACCGCATGCTTGTTCAAACTTACAATCCCACCCTTACTGGACTATGGAATTGCTCTTGAAGCGCATGGCCAAAACCTCGTTGTGCGTATCTGTCGCCAAACTGGGGACATCAAGGGATTTGCAGTACGTGATTTTGGTGGGATCCGATTACACGTCCCGACGCTCCAAGAATATGGGGTGGGGCTGGACGCAATTCCCTCGGGTAGCGCTGTTCTAACCAATAGTTTACATAATGCGTGGTCCAAGGTGCATCACTCCATGTTACAAAATCATATCGGGTTTTTATTGAGTGCTTTGGGACTCGAACAGCAGGGAGGATGGACGATTGTACGGGAGGAACTCGCGAATGTTCTCAACCCCGATGAAAACAAACGGGGACTGAAACTCTACGATTTCTTTGTGGCAGATACCATGCCCTTCAAGTGCTTCTTGATGATGCGAATGGAGGGAAAGTACCGTGATGTGAGTGATATAATACGATGTCTGTGGTTTTTTATTGACTAACCAGAGTGCGCGTCTAGTATGTGGAAAGAGAGCTGCCAAATATCGTGGCTATGAATTCTCCCCGATGGAAGGAGATTCTTAAAACCTATCAGCCGCGATTACATCATGCATAGATTGTTAAATAACTATGTTGATAGATAGTATTGGAATGGAGACCGTTGCTTAGGTCTATCGTTAGGATAACCTTGCTCCTCATGCTGTTTTCTGGCAATGATGCAACATATTAACCTTTGTCGTCGTTCGAACCTCGCCGGCCATATTTCGCGTGAGATAAGCCTGCGCCGGCCGTGTAGGCTTCTCAAAGAAAATTCTTCGAGCTAGTTTGTGGTCTGCTGGGATCATCTTCTCTAGCTCCTCTCGGGCGATTTTCCATCCTTCATTCCCCAGTCCGAATGCTTGGATGACAGAACCGGTGCTTGCGTGGACCACCATTCGTAGAATATTCTCATAAACCTGCTCCAATGACTTCGACGGACCGATATCCATGTCCAAGGAAGTGGATTCGCGAAATTTTGGGACATGGACTGCCATATGTGTGAGGTCGCGATAAACAAATCCCTTGACCTTCCGGGTGACGCGATCCACTCGGACAAGGATATTCTGGGGATGAGCCTGCAGGGCCATTCCATGGAGCAGTACAGATGGTAAGAAGGCATGGAACAAATGACTGCAGTAATCTCGCAGCACGACCGCTTTGTTGGCCATATCGCCCCAAATAGCATCGGCATGCTCTATAAGGGCTGCGCATACAATGACAGCGTCTCCTGTTTTTTTGACGATGCTCTCAATACTCTGGCGGATGATACATCCCAGATTCTCACTTTGCGTGGCTGCCGCTGCATATTCGCGAACAATGATCAATGAGCCGCCCATTGACATTGCAGCATCTTCCACGATCCTCCACACGGGTTCCAATCGAGATCCTAACATAATTTCATGGGGATATATATTGCGGACGCGCCCGAGAATCTTGACACTCAGTGGCATCTTAATGCAGATTTCATTAGTGAGTGAAAATGAGAGCGTTCGTAGAGAACTCTGCGGTCGGCCTGCGATAGAACCCGGTAACACAGGTATATCTTTGAACTCGCCGGTGACACAAGGGAGCTGTTCCTCGTGTACCGGAATAACCACATGCTTCTCACGGTCAATTTCCACTTCCTTGGGAACCACCTGGTTAATCCATGTATCATAGTCACCCACAGTCGTAACGTCCACACGAGGAACAACCACTAAATGGATATTCGCAGCAAAAAAGTCCAATACAGCCGGATAGGTACATCTATGCCAGGGATCCTGTGGCTCGCCTTCAATAATACTCTGCTCCCAGTCGAGTGGAGAGGAGTTAATCCCGAGTGGTGTCCGAGACTTCTTGTAGAGTGCTTCAAGGTTGTTGGTAGAATTCTCCAGCTGCTCACAGAGAAGGGAGACGTCCTGCTTCGCCCATGACCCGTACAGTGACAATAGGCTCGCTCCGTCTTTAATGGGGGTGCCCTCGGACGTGACCACACCCCTCAACTGACTGGGATAAATTGCGCCGTTTTCTATCCCAGAGTCAACGCACTGGACGATGATTGAGCTGTCTGATTGCGGATGAGAGAGTGTAATCGATGTCTCAGAGATATGAGCATGAACCAAATGTTCATTAATCAAACAGGCGGCCACTCGACACAGCGACGACAGGTCTGCACGTCTTTTCTCAAGGCTCACTGTCATTGTTGCTGTAAGTCAAGTCGAAAGGAATAAATGGGTGGTAGCGGTGTTGAGATAGCTCGATATCAGTGTGACGGTCGGGCTTTACCTCGATAGCGAGAAAGAGAATCCGGCTGTTCATTGATTTTCTTGTTCGACACAGGGAAAGAAGTAGGGTGTTTATTGAATATTATTGGCCAGGCCAACAGTCCCCACTCTAAGTCACGCGCATCTCCTAATACCCAGGCGCCCCCCAAGTCTACTGCAAGAATTTGATTCACCCTGCTAACTTACCAAAGTTAGATGTCCCCTTAAAGATGTCCACTTTTCTGCCATATTTGCCAGGCCTCTGATCCCAGTCCCCTTCCTGTCCTAGTTAGTACCTTGCTAGTTATTTTGAGGGAAATAAAAATATAAAAGGCTCTAAAGGCCAGAAGCTCAGGCTATCTACGCTGTACAAATGACCGAATTTTCCAAAGCGGACATTTCATTGTTTACTGTTGGCCCTCAAAATCAGAAATCCTATGTTATGAACAGACCTCGACTTGAGACGTTCCTCGGACACCATTCAATGTTTTGGAAGAACCAAGCTCCCTCTCTTCCGTGCGCCAGGCGTTAAAATAGGCGTGGCAATAAACTCGCCAGGCACGTTTTACGTTCATCACCTGTGACCATTTCGGATAATTGCTGGTCATCTCAAGGCCGCAGTTTCTGGAGCGCGGATTCCTCGAACACCTTTGGCCGTGGTTTTCAACGCAAAATACGTTGCCTGCTGTGTAAACTCATCACCTGCCGGGGGACCGTTTCAGGTATTCGTTGACCACGAACTCTAAAAACCACGGTTTCTGGAGCGCAGCACTCCTTTTGAAAGCGAAAACCCATGAGCATGAAGAGGGCCCTTATTTATACACAAATACCTTTTTGTAGCCCTAAGAATCCCTGAGAGCCACTTGGTTTATACCTGCGACTATTCAGTGCCTTGGTTTCCTTCTCTTCATATGGCTTCCACATCTGCCTCCCCGCCCAATCGATCTAAATCGGTCAGAAATTCCAAGCGCCAAAAACAAGGCCGTCGAAAATCAAACCTTATGAAAAAAGCGGCCGAATATACGCCGGTGACAGGGCACTGGTCACGAACGAACCATTGCGGCGCGTAGACCTCGCCCATAGTATCGCGATCCCTGCGCTTGGAACGCTGCTTCTCTTCCACGCGGTGCTTCTCGTCAGCAGCGAGGGTATACTCGCCATCTTCCATGGCACGCTGATCGGGACGAAGTCTGGTATCTGTGGGGGGAAGGTGTTCCTTCAAGCCCTCGGGGAGAGCGTTGAGAGTGATAACGAAGGGTGTCAGGTTGAAGGGCACACCGGTGGGACGCTCGAAAAAATAAAGTATGGCGTATCATTAAAACCATTGCAGAGACATTATTTTGGGGGTGCGGCCCCCGTTCATATACGCATGAGCCCCGATCGTCGCCTCATGATTGCACCCGGGCAATTTTGCAGGGGGAATTTATAGGGGTGTCTTGGTGTCTGCATCAGAATCTCCAAATCAGACCTATGATAGAGCACTGCCCCGCCCCACATTACATGAACACCTGGGCACCTGGCATAAGAGCAATCTAAAACCATCAACCCAGCTACAATCACTACGCACACATCGAGAAAATGCTATATGTGTACTCCGTATGGTTAGGCCCTTTGTCTATACCCTTCTTCTTCTTGTTTGGGATAGGTACTCCGTATATGTACGCCATATCACCATAAATACGGTAATCTCATCTCTTCATCATTTTGTCTGTCAGTCACAAGGGATGATGTTGCGGTATGTGGTATTCCGTATGCCCCTGGGGCATACGCGACCTGCGTTACTTTCTTTGCAATCCTATTGGGGCTATGTCTCTGTAACCAAGAGCTACAGCACGAAGTACCATGTAATTGGTCACTTAAAAATAGACACATTTCCCTATTTGACTGCTGTACACACAGACGAAGGAAAGGGGCTAGGTACATAATGCAAATGCCAACAGCCGGAGACAACGCACATGACTCGTTGAGATTCTGCCTTTCTGAGCCAGTGCGGTGGTCGCGCGGCCTGCAGGTAAATTGGCCCAACCCAATTCACAAAGTACTTCGCCATATTGGACGGGCACGATGAATTACATATCTGTTAGGGTTAGTTTTGTCCCCTCTGGTTCCAAGGTTTAGCGCCACCGGTCCCTGCGCGCGCCCGTTCGTGCCCAGGTGGTTCTATATCTGTCCCTTCCGTGCAATTCTGCACTCCGCGGACCCATATGGTAGAACTTAATGCCTCAGATCCAAATGATATCTGAAAACGAACAAACGACCCGAGGCTGCTATAGGCCTGCGTACACGACCCTATCCGACGCAGATGGATCTATTCGCGATTTTTTTGGAGAAGCAACAAGTTTTGAGTTTAATTATGTGATAATTCTCGAAACGCGAGTATTTCCTAGCTTATCTTAGCGCGATGATGGCAAGACTCCTCCGTGATGGCTATATACTTCCGAGTTGATTTACTTGGCCACCACATCCTCCGGCTTCACACCAGGAAAGTTGGTCAAGTAATAAGCATCGATCCAGATCTTCTCGCCTTCGCAACACATCACCCCCAAGCAGACCAGCCCATTCAACCAATTGTACGGACCCGGCCCTGCCTCGATGCGCAGATGTGAAAAGAACTCAACGTCATCTTGAGTGACTGTCGCCGGGGGGACCATGTCTGGATTCTCTTCAACAGCCTTTGCATAGCTAGTACCTGGACCAGGGCGGTACAGGCCATGTGCGCGGATGTAGAGGTGGTGATTGTCGGATGTCCGCACAGTGTAGCGGGCGTCGAGGGTCATGGACTATCACCAGTTAGAGGATTGCTTCAAAAGGTTTAACGGTATATGTAATGCCAAGGTTGTGCCAGATGTTGGAAACATACATGTGTTCCTTTCACCACGGTAGCCCAGTCTGCACCACCCAGTGGTAGGATGTCTCCTTCGATCCCGGGACCTTTGACGCTACCACGCACGATATTGGCGATGCTTCGAATAGTGCCGCTGTTGTGAGGAGCTCCAATGTTGATCTCCTCTTTGTCAATGTCGCATTCCAGTCTATATAGCCAGGATAGCGAGGGTTGGCGCATGGCGGGGCCATTGGGAAAGACGATGTTCCCCGGGGATGCAGCGAAAGACATGATGAGGTAGATAGCAAGGTGAAGATTGTCTCAAATAATTTGAGTGTCCGAAGACATGCCTTTATTTGACCATCGTCCCCTCATCTTGACAGTGTCCGCCCAAACCCGAATCCCGAACGGGAAGGCCGACGCACCGGGGTGTTATCGCTTAGATCGAAGGTTCCAGTTAACCTGATGATCACGGGTAATCCAGTCCAGATGCTGCCGATGGTTCATTTCAGATAGTCCATGGCCTTAAGAACAACGTGCCGACAATTTTACAACCTTCGAAGGTTCTAGTGCTACCGCGGTATCTAAGGTTTCAACAACTCGTCATCGTGTTGACTTTCTTTTTCACCTTCGGCTGGTAAATCGTAAGAGTCAGGGTGTCAACATGTAGTCAGTTTCAGGTATAAATCCATAAGAACTGCAGTTCAAATCTTGACTTCCTATCCTTGTGTATCAGCTGGCACGAACCCTCATAATGTCTACCCCAGAGCCACTTCCACCAGCTGATTTCAAACCACGCCACTGCTCAACTGAAACTACTGCTTCACTCGATGTAAATATTCAACCCCGGTGCTCCTAAATTCCCATGCAATGCTAACAGCTTTAGACTATCAAAGAGGACGTCCACAGCTCTACCGACGAAGACCTTCTTAGCTGGGAAGACTGCCCCGAAAGCGATTCTCAAAAAGGAGTCGAAGAGATAAATGACCAGACAGAAGGTCTGGAAGAAAAACGTCCTTCTGACAAAGAAAGACTCCAAACCATCGAAGAAAAAGTAGAAGAGCTCTTCTGCGACAAGGAGATCACAGCGCAGCTTTGGAACGATGACCCGCAAAAGCGGCAAAGAAGACCATAGAGAGAATAGCCAAGAACTTCATATTAACGTGCGTCTTTCTGAATCGGCTTAGAAAATAGGGGTCGAAAAGAATACTAAAGAGTATAGTCACTGAGATTTAACGGATAGCAGAGGAATTCTATATATATTAAGATTATCACCCTAGTCACATGAATAGTACAGCTGAATAAAGTAAGGATAAAAAACTTTAGGTATGTAGATCGATACCTTCTCTTATTTTTATTTGATTAGCATCCGCATATTTGTGCGATATTCCAGCTACGCTATAACATAGAATCTGCAAGATTTATGCAGGACAAACCAGAAATAACATTGATCTACAGGTTTAAATTCAAGGTAATCCTTGCCTTTTCTATATTTAGCAAATACTTATATTAATGGCCCTATGATATTTTCCTCACCGACATTCATTGTTCACGATCCCACTTAAGCAAGAGAATGAAGATCGCTTTTCTAATACTTAGTGAGGACATTTTTAGCCCTAAGATATACTAATAGATCTCTCAAATCCTGCGGTCGATCTTAATCGACAGTCGCCTAAATACTCTGAGCAGGGAAGAAGGCGCTGTGAAGGGCTATAGCCGATTTGATTTAATCTAACTAGGCCACGAACTGTTTACAACCATTTTGGGAAAATGGAGGAAAAGGGGGCGTTCGTGTATGGCTAAGATAGCATGCTACCGCTTACGGAAGCTTTTATGGGTCTAATAAGGAGGCAGGCAAAAGGAAGGTGAAAGGCCATGGTTAAATAGCCACTTGCGGGCAATAGCCCGTTACAGCTGGCCCCGAAGAAATTATCTCCAGGATCATCATTGTTATTAGATAGAACAGGGATGCAAATGGCTAATACTGCATAATATAATATATAGACACATAAGCTACTAGTTCCTAAGAACTAGAAATTAGTAGTTCGTGGCGCTGATCCTTAGCATACTAGACATATAGTGGGGAATGTCCCTACTAAGAATAAGAAAAGAGATCTTCATTCTATGGCTGGGATCGTGAATAATGAATATCGGTGAGGAAAACAATACAATGTATAGCTATTCTAAATATAACAGAATCTAACTAGCTGCAATGACAAGATCATTAGAATAATTCGAGGTTTTGCAGAATAACTATCGAGTTGTGCCACCACAAGGCAAGTGCCAAGACGGGTGCTCAGACGAATGCGTCGATCATTCAGCTAGCCATAGGGGGTTATACATCGATAGATCGACGCAAGGTTTACAGCATCAGGTGGCTACCTGGTGGGCTCAATTACGTCACTATGGTTGCGAGGCAAGACAGAAACTGTGGACAGCGACTGCTGGGATGAGATAATGCAATCACGAGGGATGTAGTTAGGCGTCTTAAACTATCCGTCACAAGAAGCCTATGTGCTGTGCGCAGTCGCACTCTGAGATCCTGTAAAACTTATACAGTACAAAAATGCTTCACGACGACGTGAGAGTTGTTTGACCCCCATCGCGATTAGTGCGAGGCTCTGGTTCGGCTTTGGTTCCGTGGAACCTGGGACTAACAGTGGGATCGGCTCGAGCCGAGCCCAAGTACAAGCATAACATATAGCCTTTCCCCTGATCTCACAATTAATCGTCATGTTGGCAACGGGCTCATCCTGTTCAGTTGAGGTTGAATTGGCGGGCTTATGGTACTGTATATCATGGATGAGCTCTCGCATATTGCACACTGTCAGCGGCATTATTTGGAGGTCCGCAGCTTTCAGATGGGCCAGAAAATAGTCAGGCTCCCAGGAGGCATGATGGCCGCCAAGTCACGTGCACTTCCTAATACCCCAGCGTCACCCGGGTCTTGGAGCCAAACCATTTCAACCTGATCACTGAGCAGAATTATGACAAACTCTGAGCACAGAACGAATCCACTGCCTATGATGCATCGAAGTCCCCCGACCATCGCTCTTTCAGGCACTCTCCGCTATCCTGAACCTTCCACCGTTCCCTGACAAAATGGCGCAGAGACTCCCTCCCTCTAAACTTGTAATGATCCGTGATATGATCCTTACTAAATCACTGACTACCTCGCAGATGGCTGAAGCCGCCGAATGTAGTAAGCGTTCCATCATCAATATCACCAACAACCTTCGCCGGTTCGGAAATGTCAGAGCACCCCCAACTTACGTCGGCCGACGACCAAGCGTGACCCCTCCGATGCTCGAAGCACTGTGTGATCATTTATTAGTAAAGCCCGGGCTATATGTTGACGAGATGGCGATCTTTTTATAGGATGAGTTCCGGGTCCAAGTGACAAATTCGATCCTAAAGCGAGCTTTTGCTTCAGTTGACTGGTCGAAAAAGGTGGCTCGACAGAGAGCAAAGGAACAGAATGCCAATTTGTGAGACTTCTACCTACACAACTTATCCGACTTCCGATATTATCACCTGGTTTATGTGGATGAATCTGGATGTGATAAGCGGATTGGTTTCAGACGGACCGGCTGGTCTCCAGTGGGCACGACACCTTTGCAGGTATCCAAATTTCATCGTGACTAGCGATATCAGATTCTTCCTACATACGCCCAAGACAGTGTTGTTTTCTCTCGAGTATTTCAAGGCTCGACTGACGCAGTTGTGTTTAAGGACTTCATTAAGCAGCTTCTTAGACATTGCGGAAGATAGCCTGAACCGAAGTCTGTTCTAGTCGTAGATAATGCATCTTTTCATCATTCTAAGCGAATCAAAGAACTATGTGCCAATGCAGGAGTAAAATTGGTTTACCTACCACCTTATTCGCCTGATTTGAATCCCATCGAGGAGTTTTTCTCTGAGTTGAAGGCGTTTATAAGGCGAGATTGGCGGCGATATGACCAAAGCCCGGACCAAGGATTTGAATGTTTCCTTGAGTGGTGTATCGATGTTGTCGGATCGTGAGAAGAAAGTGCAAGGGGCCATTTCCGGCACGCTGGCGTTTTTGTTGAAGACTACCATTGAGGCTCGATGTTGATGATAGATCAACGGTAGTTCTGTGCAATAGTGTTTCATTGGCATCGAATTTGACTAGACCATCCATGTAATACGCATTTATTCTGCCTAGTAGTGTATTGCAGGAAGTACATCCCATCAAAATCAGAAAAACAAGCAAATTCATTCAGTCACGCCTTGCCAGTGACTTTGATAGCCAATCTGCGCCGTCAGCTTCTTACGTGCCTCGCCCATCTGACAATGTCGCTTACGAAGCGGCGGGCAATCCCTACCGCAACTCCCTTTTCAATAAAAAATCCCGGGTCGCGGTCCTCGTGGATCTGTTCAAGATCCAGACCGTTCGCCAGCGTTGCATCGCATGCCTGTCGAAATTGAGCCTTCATGTTGTCATCAACAACATTTGTTTCTTGCCATGCGCTGTATTCTCTCACAGCGACATCTCGGGGCCCGTCAATTATGAGCTGATCTACTATCTGTCCGTTTTGCGCAGGAGATGTGTCCGAGGCTGCAATTGAGTAGGCCGCCGATGACTGCAGGTGAGGTTGCCCTCCCATGAAGTTGATATTGATAGGCGGACAGTTTCCTGAAGCGAGCATTTTATTGCTCTTAGACTGTTGATTTTCCAGTTTCTGCTGTTCTTCCAAGAAGAGTTCCTCACGAACAGCGTCAGGGACATCGCCTTGACACTCCAGAATACCACCGCCTTCAACATAAGCGATCAGGCGTTTTAGGTGATGTGTCCGTAGCTGATAGTGTTTTTTCCCATGTGGGTCCTGCCAGCAGTGCGGACCAAGGTGGCAAGATGGCGAAGGACAACGCATCAAGTTGTAGACAGCCCGCCAAATCGATTGTTCCCCAGATATATGTTGTTCGGCATCAAGTTGTTGATCCCGCTCGTTGAGCATCCTTTTCGTGACCGATGACCTTCCTCTTTTCTCGTTGCTCCCTGTTGCAATCCTAATGGAGTGGTCGTCCTCTATATAGTTGAAAATGATCACTAGTCGCAACAGCTCGGTGAAGGGCTGAATCCATATTCTGAGGGTGGCATGTGTACGTTATATCCTGGAGTTGGAGCATATTGCGAATCCTGGTCTGATGGATCGAGGTCCTGGGCTTGGGATTCATCACCGTTGGGAAAGAAGTGGTTAATCATCGTCCTCAATTTCCTAGTGAACCGAACTTCAGCACATTTTGGTCAACCAGGGTTCAACAGAGAGGGACCAAAGGAATGCAGCATTTGGTAGGGCGGACAAGGCGTTTGTAAAGAAATATTTCATCCCACCAGTATTGTCTCGACGTATCTCTTCGCTCGTTCACTATGCAAGTAGAGCAGTAGTGTAAATGGGGTTAATTGAAGGGGGGGGGGGGGGGGGGGAGTTGAGGTGCAGTGACCAGACAACTGACCAAATCTCCTGCCAGCCAGTATGTTTAGCTTGTTTGCAAGTGAATGGTTCTAGACAGGCCCTGACCCATACAGCCATGATACGATAGCTATTTTTATGCCATTATTTATTACTGTACCAAGATACTGCCCAGAATATGGGTCAGGGGTAAGCTAACCATAAAAGGTATGGCGTCAGGCGAAATTAAGTTTGGGAAAGAATTGAAGAGAGTAAAGAAGTGAAATTGATTTCGAGCGCGTCTGTACGCGGTCGATTCTGTACTGAATTCCCGTCTGTACAGCTCGAAAGGGGGCACACCACCGGGCCAAGGACATCGACTGTTATCGGGATAGCAAGTCGACTCACAGAGAGGATCCTGTACCAGAAAAATTGTTGTGTACCGAACGGAAGGGATGGCGGACCCACACGCGGGAGGGCCCGAGCCCCCTCGCACAACCACACCCGGAACGACAACGACCAACGCGTTGGATAACTCTAATTCGACTACTGCGCCTCGGACCAGAAGACAGGCCCGGCCCAGTGATGGCCACACCACCGCAACGCGTTCTGAGACCACGAGCTCCGGAGACAACAATGGACGCGTCACGACCCGGGACATCTGCCGACTGATCGAAGGCTTAAAAGAGACGATCGCCTACCAAACCGAGCTCATCCAGTCCACCAAGAACGAACTGCTAGAAGTGAAGCACGACCAGAACGTCCTGCAGACGCAGAACGAGAAACTCCACGAGGAAGTTCGAGCTTTGCGGACGCATATTGATGCCCTCCCACCACCACCGACCGCAAAATCATGGGCCACAGTAGCAGCGAGTCACCCACCTTCTCAATCAAACCACCAGCGCCCAGACAAGGACCAAGACTGCGTCCGAATCAGCACCCAGCGCTCCTTCGTGGATCCTAGAGACAATGAAAGCAACGAACCAAATACCTTTGGGCGATATCTCCCAACGGAGACCGCAAACATCCAAATCCGCACGGCGCTGTCGAACTCACCGTCTACACACGACGCCCAAGTAGCCGGGGTTGGCACCACCAAAACTGGATATGTCATCCGGTTCAAAGACACAGAGTCGGCGGAAGCGGCCCGCAACAGCACAGAATGGCTGAACGAGCTAGGAAACAACACGAAATTGGTCAAGGCGCGGTTCGGCGTCGTGATACACCGGACCCCACGGAGGGTTTTGACCTCGAGAACGCGAACGCACAGGCGATTGAGAAAATCATGAAAGAGAACGACCTAACCGAGCTAGGACCCCGGATCAAGGAGGTGGCTTGGCTTAAGAAGAAAGACAAGGCACTAGGGAAGTTTGCCTCCCTAGGCATCTGGTTCGACACCGCGGAAGGAGTTGATTACATTCTAGGCAAGGGCTTCCTGGTCGGCCGGAGATTCATCGACAGTGTGGAACGCTGCGAACCAAAAAGAAAGAGATGCTTCCGGTGCCAACGATTTGGACACCTTGCATGGTCATGTAAAGAAACGCCGCGATGTGGACACTGCGCTGGCCAACACGAGCGAGAACGGTGCCCCCCGGGTGTGAGAGCCCGATGCCTCGACTGTGGTGGTGAACACCCAACCAGCGATCGCCAGTGCCGAACGCCGGCAACCTCTAACTCCCAATGTTAGAGAAAAACCTACGTGTGCTACAGTTAAACATCATGAAATCGGGACCTAGGATGGAAGCGCTCATCAACGACCACCAGAGCCAGGACCTCGATGTACTCCTGATCCAAGAACCATCTATCACCGCCTATCAAACACACGTCAACCACAGCGCCTGGCGGCTATACCGGCCGACTACCGAGCCTGATGCAGGCCGGTTTCGCAGTCTGATCTACGTCAACCGAAAAGTCTCAACCTCGTCTCAACCTCGTCTCATCGACAGATCGCCTGCGACCACCCGGATGTCACGGCAATCAAGATTTGGACAACGGAATCCCAATTTCTTATCTTCTCGGTCTACCTCTCATGCGTTCCACTATTCACGCCGAACAAGACGTCGGCAGAACTAGCACTCACGGCAATCCAGAAAACACTGTCAGCCAACACCCAAGAGGATCAAAAGACAACAAGCGTCATCTTGTCAGGTGATCTCAACCGCCACCACCCGATGTGGGGCGGCAACAATATCCAACCGCGATTCATTGAAGACGCAAGCGAATTGATCAACTTCTTTCAAGCGCATGGCTTACATAGCTGTCTTCCACGGGGAACAGCGACATTTTGGCCCTTTAACGACCCAGGGAAGAGCACCACTATCGACCAGACGGTAACGAACCGCCCGGACCTACTCGTCAAATGCCATCTCTACCACGAAAACTATGGGTCAGACCACCGCGCAACGTACTCCGAATGGGACCTACGATCTCAGCGCCAGCCCGCCGCTAAGGCCAGGAAAGCCTACGACCGTGCGGACTGGTGTAAGATCGCCGAAGACGTACGTCGACAATTGGGCCCATGGAAGGAGGTGAAAACGAGACCAGCGCTAGATGAGACAGTCGACAAGCTCACAGAGGCAACGGCCATGGCGGTGGATAAGCATACTCCCGACCTACGACCAACGCCATACTCCAAACGCTGGTTCACCCCAGCCCTCAAAATACAGCAGACCGAGGTCAATCAACTACGCCGGACGTGGCAAGAAAGCTGTGCGGAACTCGGGCGGCACGACGCCCGCTCCATGACCCTCTTTCAAGAGATGCAGCGCAAACGACGATTATGGACCCGGACCATCGAGAAGGTGAAGGCGTCACATTGGAAGCAGTTCCTTGACGAAGCCGGGGAAGGGAAGCTCTGGAATGCAGCCACCTACATGAAACCACAAGAGGCCTGGGGATGCGTGCCGGCATTGCACGTCGGCACAAACGAGCTCATAGAAAATGAGGACAAAGCGCAGGCGTTCCTAGACGCTTTCTTCCCGCAGATGGACGAACCTCACGAGGACTTGCCCGCCCAGGCACCTCTAGCACACCCGTGGCAACCAATCACCGAGCTTGAGATTCAACGATCTCTTCATGCCGCAAAAGGATCTACCGCACCTGGTGAAGACGGCTTGCCGACGCTAGTGTGGAAACAGCTATGGATGCACCTCAAGGTCTACATCACGGGATCACCGCGTCATTCAATGTAGGATACCACCCGGTGCGATGGCGGAGCGCGAAGATTGTAGTGCTACGGAAACCCAAGAAACCGGATTACTCGGTCCCTGGGGCCTATCGCCCGATCTCACTCGTCAACACACTAGGTAGACTCCTTAAAGCGGTGATGGCGCGCCGACTGTCGTATCTCGCTGAAAAGCACGGCCTGCTACCGGACACCCAGTTTGGAGGACGACCAGGAAGAACTACTGAACAGGCCCTTTTGGTCCTCTCCAATGCGATTGACCGAGCGTGGTACAAACACAAAGTGATAACGCTGGTGGCGTTTGACCTGAAAGGTGCCTTTAACGGAGTCAACAAAGTAAGCCTAGACGCTTGCCTCCGGGCAAGGAGAATACCCACCGTGACGAGGAAATGGATCGCGAGCTTCATGAGCGACCGCCACGCCAGCATAGGATTCGATGACTACCGCACCGAGACCACACCACTGCCGAACGCGGGACTCGCACAGGGTTCGCCCCTGTCCCCGATCCTCTTCGCATTCTTCAACTCTGACCTGGTCGACCAACCTGTCAACTCTCACGGTGGTGCATCCGCCTTCATCGACGACTACTTCCGATGGCGCGTGGGACGCTCGGCCGAAGAAAACCTAGCCAAAATACAATCGGAAGACATCCCCCGCATCGAGGCATGGGCCCGTCGAACAGGGTCTTGCTTCGCAGCCGAGAAAACCGAATTGATTCACATCACCAGGAAAAGACACGAACAGCTTCAGGGTCAAGTGGTTATGAACGGTAAGACAGCCGAACCGTCATCCACGGCCAAGCTGCTGGGGGTGGTTTTCGACCAGGAGCTTCGCTGGAAGGAACACGTCCAGCAAGCGATCAAACGCGCAACCAAGGTCAGTGTTGCTTTGGGCGGGCTGCGGCATCTGCGCCCAGAACAGATGCGACAGCTCTACCAAGCCTGCGTAACGCCGGTCATAGACTACGCGTCGACCGTCTGGCACGACCCTTTACGAGACAAGACCCACCTACGACACTTAAACACAGTCCAGAGAACCACATTGATTCGCATCTTATCAGCTTTCAGGACAGTGGCCACCACGACTCTGGAAGTAGAGGCACATGTTCTGCCAACGCACCTCCGCCTCCGCCAACGAGCACAGAACACCATCACAAGCCTCCACACTCTACCGCGCGATCATCCCATCTGGGATTCACTACGGCGAGCCCAGAAACGGAGGAACAATATCAGGTCGTACGCTCGTTTCCCACTGGCGGAAGCCCTGAAGACCATGGACCTAGTGAGATTAGTAGCTGATTAGTCTCGTATATTCATCCGCATTAAAAGAAAAAGAAATGGCTTTCAAAAGCAACGAAACGCGCGCCGCGATGAGAAAGCAATGTCGAGAGGCGCTATCTGCACATATCTGTACCTTTTTCCCGTCTCAGGCATCCTATGGAGAGGAGGAACTGACGAACCTCAGATAATCGACTTGGCCTTGATGTTGCACCCAGCCAAGTTCGCCTCCAGCCACTAGTCGAGGACGGATACGCCTGGTCAGTGACGGAATCCAAGAAATCCTTACTGCAGTCGAGCCTAAGCAATGGGACCGTCGGTCTATTTCGGGCTATATGTGAAGAATTGGGCCGGTCGCTCGAAGCAGTTACACCGCAGACCTTACACGATTCTAACTCGGGGCGGGACGATGATCCAGGGGAGGATGTGAGATATCCTCTACCTACCAGATTTCCCAGCACTAAACAAAGACATAGGAAGATGTAAGCGCGCATAAGGAAGAAGACGGGTCATTTACAGCAAAAATCCGCTAACTGGAAGGCGCGAACCGCGAGCTGGGGGTTAAGCTCGATCGTACTCGGGCCCGGCTAGACAACGCGCACAGCAAAAGCGATCGGTTCCAGAAAAAGTCTCATCGGCTTCGGGCTGAGCTTAAAGCCAGCTTACCCCGAACCAGTCGGCTAGAGACTGAATTGACGCGCGTCAGAGCGGGAGTCACCGAGGTGATGAAGGCTTTACAAAGCCATGGGAACCAGAACAGTAGCTCGCCGGCGGAAGAACACAATCGGAATTGATGTCATGCAATATCTCGCGAAGTGGTGCTGTAAACCTTGAGGAGAGGTTCTGGTGGACTGACTTGCTGACACATTGTTTGTTTCTTATGTTCTGTAAGCATATTAGATGCGAGTATCTGTAGAAATTCCCACTTATCTTATCGTAACCTCGATAACCAGGAGTGGGTGGATCCTAAGTTAAACCCCTATAATAGGAAATCTCATATTGTTTATAGTGAAAACATGGTTGTATCACGACTATCACGCGTTTTCACGCGTCGATAAGCTATCTCTGATGATATATAAGTCTCCCGAAAAGGATTAGCCGCGGATAAGCTGTAATAGAAACGGTAAGTGTACGTTTAGTTTCTTAGACAGAAAAGTAAAAGGAGACGACTATAGATATATATATACATACTTCCGATCAAGAGAAGGGTTTCGCCTAATAACGCCAAGCTGTGGGAAGTAACCTAACTAATACCTCACAACCCCTAAAAACCAAGCTGAAAGAAACCTTATAGGGAATTTACTCTAGTAACCAAGTTGAGCGACATCAGAAAGTATATTAGAGGTCTCTACACAGACAATCCTAATACGGTTAGATTCACGGTAAAGACAGCCATATCCACACGACAGATTTCCCGCATAGATACAAACGCGCGAATATCATACACTTCTTATACGCAGCGGAGAAAATTAATTTTGTAGCACGTATCTTTGTTTACCACGCTTACTAGTATTTTTAATTCCCCCCTAGACCCTAATTACTTAAAGAATTTGCTCTGCCTGGTCAGCCGCAGTCTTATATAACAGATAGGCGGGATCATACTTACTCACAGCAGCTTATTAATAGATAGTCGGTTCAGATCCTCGGGGAGACTCTAGGCCTCGGGGCTCTATTTTGTTCCCGGAGAGCTTCTTATCATTAAGCTTTGGACCACATCGGCCAGGGCCATCAGCTTCAGAGTTACGGCATCCATCTCAGTCGCGTCGATTTAGCAGCTATACTCCGCCCCCGCTATATAGTCCTTGTCAATATCACCTCCCGAAGGTATTCGTAACCTAGACTGCTCCTCACTCACCAATTTTAACGATACCGGACTCTGTGAGAAAGATCGTATCGGCGCTTAAGGTAGCCAGTACTCTGCCCTACCTATAGAGATACTTTATTCCTTTTAGGACCTACTAATAATTAGCCGTTAGTTTCTTAATAGCAGCGACCCTTTCCTTTAGAAAGAGGAGGGAAACAGCCCGCACGCCCTATATCTACCAGCTAAACAATCGCGGCGAGGGCTCCTTCGTCGATAGAGTATCGCGACCCTAGTACCTGGCCTACGGATAACTTAATCGCTTCCCACACCAGGAAATCCTAACCTCTATAACGATAATGCTCGAGTAGATTAGGGAAGCTTCGATGGGTAACCTGGTGTATTGTCTCCACTAACAACTCAGCAGAAGAGGGCTCCTATTTAAGCCGTTAGATGTTGACTAACTCGGCCTTATTACTTCGGAGACGGGCGAGGAAGATTAGCTGCCCGAAAATTCGAACGGTCGACTTGTAGGTCAGCCATGGATCTTCGTCGACTTATCGGATCTTTGGTACTATATTTTGATTCTTTCGCTGAGTAGGAGCGGGATGAGCTAAGGGGGATCCTACTATTTCGGGCTGGGAGTCAGATGGATATGGCTGTGAGCGAGAGGCCTGTTCGATTTCAAGATCCAAATCGCGCTTTCGCTTTAGACCAAGCCACATAGTCCGTGGTCGAACAGGGTGAGCCTGATTGGAGTCCATATTGCAGGCGCCGTATGGAGAGGGTTGCTAGTTTAGTGATATATACTCAGGTTATGGTGCGATTACTTTATACTCCAGCGTCTACAAATCTGATCCGGGGCACGTCTACTCAAGAGGGAACTAAAATGAGCGGGTACGTTTGATTCTCCGGCCGTCTAATATTCACACAGTCGGCAGAAGTTTGCGCGATTGCTTACACAGCGATAGCAACTCTTTATGCGGGTCGTTCACGGCCTATCCTCGTCACATATTGATAGAATTATAATCTACAACCTATCCAATAATATAAGAAATAGGGAGGGTACACCATATATAGTGGTTTATAGACATGAAAGAAACAGCTAAAATGCCCCTAGCTCGGACAAAGCCGGAGTACTATATCATTGGGCTAATATCTTAAATTTACTACGTAGTAGGTATATACGCGATAAGACACTCTAATAAACGATGTATTGCTCTTAGCATAGATGATTTAGGATTAATATGGATTGAATACAACAATACGCACTAGAAGGAGGTAGGATATCGCTGTATACCCAGGTATTCCCTCAGTATCGTTACCTCACTCCCCAAACCATACGTGCCACACCCCACTACTAGAATCGTTCTAGAGGCTGTCCCCTCCGCACCGACTGACAGAGCTCAGATAGGTTAGACGACCCCGAATAGTCGGTTTATTATGTAAGTCGAGCTAACTATCGTTAAGTTAATATAATTGGTTAGTTTTCCACTGCTAACCTATCCGTGGCCGAGCGATCCGGAGAGGGCCTACCCACAGAACGGTTAACAGAACGGGCTGGTCGATAGATATATTGCTCGGAAGATACCGATTCGTCGACCTGTATTTCACTAATAGGGCCGTCTATCCCCAAGGAGCAAAAGAACGTGTCAAAAGCTCTGTTATATTTACTATTTTTTAGTTAGCGACAGCATACAAGACATAACCAAAGAGGGTCAATTGATATACCATATTGGACAAGGGGGATTATTCCCAGGTAGACAGAATCCGAACCAACTTTCCATACAATCCAAATAGACAAACGAAACGTATCTTCTACACTTCAGAACTATAGGCTCGGCTTAAGCTTCCTAGAGGTAGATCAGGCAATTCATATGTTCTGAGGCGGGCCACTCGTTGAAACTCTTAAGCCGTAATAAGTGCGATCCGCGTTCAATCGAATAAGTGGCTGGACGGGTTAAGGAAATTCGCTAGGGTACATTATTCTCTTGTAGTATATCGCGTGTGACATGTCGTCTGGTGATACGGGTTATCTCCGGTCGCATAGGTACAGCCACTAGTATATAAGGCAGTTTACGGACAGCCATATTATACCACTGCTGTCCGATTTAGTCGGCCTAGCGTATCCGATACCACCGCTGACATAGGAAGTGGGACGCAATATCGCGTAGGATAGGGAGGGCGGAAAGATCAAAGTGCCTTCTAGCAAGGGCCTTCAGCTTATTACGACCTTTATTAACGTTATTGACTGTCGGGTAGAGTTTGCAATATGTCCCTTTCTTGGTAAGGCCACAACAAGTCTGCTGGTCCCTGCAAAGACCTATTTCACAGATGACCAGAGGATCCTATCGCTCCTAAGATGACGGTATAATAAGTATAGATGGTTGTTGATTTAGCGAGAGAGTTTAAGAAAAAGAGATTGATAAAGACGGTCTCTTTGGCCGCGCTAGAGTATTTATATTTATAAGTCATAAGTCTATTCTTAGAGTCTCCCAAATAACATACGCAATGCTACCTACTGAAATAGATACAATGAATGGCTATAAGGGCGATAACGCAAGCATATGCTAATCGGGATAACAGGTAGGTTGTACTTGTATCCCAGAGCAGCCAACCATGGCCCTAGGAGTAGTTGAGCTTACAGTAATTATTTACCCCAAGGAAGTCAATCTCCACAGATAAATTAAGCCATGAAATCATTTTCGGCGCTCATTTCTCTCGTCAAGACTAGAGCCATAACCTGGCTTAATATCACAGGACAACTGATACAGCATCGTTTAGCTACATCATCTACCACAGCATCCATATAACGCGCTAGATTGATCCCTAGAACGCCGGTTACGCTAGTATTTCGAAGTCGGAGACAAAGCGACATCGGGATAATATTGTGAAGGCTAAATAGAAGCCCGATTTAAGACTATAACCAAGGCACGACTAGAATTTATCTTTTGATGCGTTAGATTAGGTTCTTATATCAGAAGGGCTCCAAGGTCATATGGTCGCTACCGATAGTCTCCTCTCCCTGCAAAATCGATACTACACGAGCACAACATTAGTAGCATAACAGAGTGCATCATCCTCAGTACCTCATTAACCCTACTTACCCTTCTGCAACTTACACACGACAAAGTTGCTCGAGCCATTCCGCAGCCTTGTCGATAGAATCCGCCAATAAGGGTTATCTACCATCCCGTGCATCTGTTATTAAGAAGAACAGTCAAAAAACATATATAGTGGAACGACCTATAGTGACCACTGGATTGACCTACCCAATTTTGAATACTCTAAGTCACCCTTATCTTGATTAAGATTCTAAGTAGGTATTATCTCTAGACCTCATTAAAAACATTCAGAGGGCCGGAATCTCCCGCCCTCCGCCCGACCCTCGCGGGCGGAGGGCGGATACTTGCCTGCCCTCACCCGACCCTCCGCCCTCTGAGGGCCGCTCGAGGGCGGCCCTCATCGGCCCTCGTTTACATAAAAAAAGTTGACCTTTCCTAATTTAGATGTATAAAAGTGCTAACTCATCACTTTAAATTACGGTTATTTAACGGTGTTCTGGTTTGAATGTTATATTTACAATCCATTTCTTTATCAGCATCAAGAAACTTTATGAAATTGAGTTGTATTACGATAAATCATGGCAGGTAATAATGATATTACATATTCTTAGTATCTTTAAGTATATTGGTTGTTGTCAATTGTGAAGGTTGTCAATATTAGATGATGGAGTTGGAGAAATATATATTTACAACTTCAGCTAGACCTAGGGTATATACTTCTTATCTGAATACTGATTTTTGAGGGCGGGTTGAGGGCGGGTTGAGGGCGGCCCGTATATTCCGAGGGCGGATTGAGGGCTGGATAAGGGCGGCCCTCAATTAGCCTAGTAAATCTAGCCAATTATAGAGATTATCTTAAGTTAAAGTGGATCAAATTGTGATATATTTACTATTTACCCAGTGAGCTGAACTTTAGGGTAGTTGATCA